AACGAACTGGCAGCTGAAGATCTTATCGATGGTATGATTGAAATAAGGAACTCTTTTGTTGAAAATGACATAGACGAAGTGACTGCAGATATTCCTAAACTCCGTAATGTCCTCAAGTTAATACTGAAAACGGTAGATCTAAGTAAACTGAGTGAGGAGGAAATCCAGCTGCTAAATGAAATATCTAATGCTTCGAAGTTAATGGCAAAAGCAATGATACACGAAAATTTTAATCATCTCGTGAACATGTTTGACCGGATGAAAACCGATATTGATGAATTATTTGAGCCATCTGATTCTGAGAAACAGGAAATAAAGTCTGTAAATGAAGAAGAGAAATCGGAGATTGATGACAATAACTCTATGACTGATCAGTCAGGATCTGAAACGGCATCAGACAAGGAAGAAGAACAGTACTCATCGGATTCTAATATTAGTGAAATTGATCAGTCAGAATCAGAAAGCACGCTAGATAATCATTCCATTTCACAATCTGAGGATCAAAGTGACTGAAATTAATGAATAAAATTGACCTCCGGAACAAAGACTATAAAAGCATCTGGGAGAACTGGTTTTCAAAATGAATCCTCTATTGTCAATATTATTAGTTATGGACCGTTCCACACTTGCACAAATTCCTGGAGAATATCAGGATATTTACAAAAGGAGTTGGAAAACAATTAAAACGAGTGTGAGACAGGGTCGATTGAAAGATGTTTACCATTTTCCTATAATCACCACTGATAATAGTGCGATCTTGAGAAAAGCTGAAGAAGTTGTTGCAAAATACAACGAGAAGTTCAAAGTTAATGTGGCGTTTGGATTTATTCTCAAGGACAGGACTACAGATGAACTAAAGTTTTTTCATCCGTCAAACAACACGATGCTGTTTACACTCCCTCGATTATTAGAAACTCCATCTGATTATAGACAATTTGTTGAGGATATTGAACAACAAGACGCCTTTGACTATGCTCGACTGCACAGACCATCAACAAAATGGACAGTGGAAAGAATTGTGTGTGTACGATTTGATATTTATAGATTTAAACTAAGACCTTAATTTAATTCTGTCAAAACGTATTTTTGGATGTGTATCGTGTAAATAATATTCAGTTAATGTTATTTGTAAAAACCTTCATTTCCATTTATTTTCCAACCAGTTACGAATCATTTGTTTTACTTTTAAAAGCATCAATCAGTTTTATTGACAGATGGTGTAAATTAATCACAAGAGACGATTGAATGAGTCACTCAAGTGATTTATAGGATAAGGATCGCTTGTGACACATTATAACTTCACTTTTACCCACTCTAATCTGGTAAGATCGTTACACGATAAGATCACAATAGTACCGTGTGCAATGAACATGACGTAATAATCAAGTTACATCCAATATAGAGTCCACATGGAACATGATATCACACTAATTACAAGGTCGCCGCCGGTAACATTACGTAATATGCTTACTCCAAGCACCTGTACCTACTTTTTTCCCAAAATGGCTATTGAAAAATCCCTGACATACTACTGACGATGATCCACCTTGTCGAAGGCCTTCGCAAAGTCTAGATATATTGCATCAGTATCTGACCCACTCAAAAGGCCACTCATGATGTCGTCGAAGTGGCTAAGAAGCTGAGTCAAACAGCTCCTTCCCGAACGAAATCCATGTTGATTATCACACAAAATTTCATTTTCATCTAAGTACTTGACCATGGTGCTCCGTAGAATGCGCTCATAGATCTTGATGATGTGTGAGGTGAGGGCAACGGGACGGTAGTTCACTGCATGTGCCCGGTTTCCCTTTTTGTAGAGAGGAGAAATATGTGTCTCCTTATAGAATTTGGGTACAAGACCCAGGGTGTATGATTCCGTCCAGATAAGTTTAATGGGTTGGCACAGTTCTTGAGCACATGTCTTGAGAAGACAAACTGGCACTCCATCTGGTCCACAACCCGAATCGGGTGAGATTGCAGAAATAGCCGATATGATGTCTTCATCAGAAATAACAAAATCTTCGTCAGTTAGTGGTTGCGTTATATCTGCTGCCATGAACTGGGGATCTTGAACATCGGGACAATCTGGATCACTGAAAACAGAGCTAAATTGCTCTTGTAGAAGATCTGCCATTGACTTAGGATCAGTGATTATTTCATCACGTTTGTTGAACAGCATGCTAATTGACGATTTGATTTTTGATAAGGACTTGGCATAACTATAAAAGTATTTAGGGTTGGTCTTGATTTTTTCCAACGCTTTATCTTCCTTTTTATCCATTTCGTTAAGGAATGCCTCTTTTATATCATAGCATATGAGAGCAAGCTTATCTTTAACATTCCTAATGTGAACTGGGTTCCCGTTCATAGCTAAGAGTGCATCCAGACGTGTTTTAAGACGTGCTTTCTTCCGTCTTAATGCATTGACATGCTTTGGGCGACCTGACGGGACTCTCTTCTGGGGGACACATGACTGGCAAATCTGGAACAATGTATCCGTAAAGAGTGCGGGGAATTCTTCAAATGAACAAAGATTTCGCATCGTAGGCCACTCCACTTCATCCAGTTTCTGTTTCAGAACTTCATAGTCTGCTTTGCTGAAATCTAATGATCTGAAGGAGTTCTCATCAAACTTTGGAATAGCTGATTCTTCAGAACTAAGCGGGTTCCATGCAAACATGATATCGATCAGGTTGTGATCAGATAGTTCTGTCTTCTCAGAAACGACATTAGTGATAAGTCTATCGTTATTAGTCAAGAATATGTCTAGAACATTATTACCTCTAGTTGGGAATGTGACGTATTGACTTAAGAAATGTTCTGACATAAATGACAAAAGGGCACGGCATGATTTGTGCATCTCTGAAAATCCGTCTGATTTCAAAGTTGAAGTTTCCCAGTTAATTGCAGGTAAGTTACAGTCCCCCGTTATGTTATGATCAAAACTGTCGTCATTGACCTGTTGTATACAATTTGACACAAACTTCAGGAGTGCGGTAAAACTTTCCACTTGGGCATTTGGTGGTCTATAAACCACGACGTAGCACGTCTTGATGGTGTCAAAACGACAGAAAATTCCTTCGCAAATACCATCATCAAAGGTGTGGCATTCACTAACAGGAATGTTCATATGGGAGTAGAGGAGCACACCTCCACCCACTCTAGCATCTCGGTCCGAGCGGGAAACCACATAATACATATCCAGGCACGTGTAATTGTGCATCTGATATATAAGACTTAAGCCAAGTCTCGGTGAGTGCAATAAAAGGCAGAGAGTGGTTTTTTGACTTTTCTTCTTGAACGAAGGAAATGATTTCAGGGACTTTCCACTTGCTTGTACTGTTTGCACTCGGGTTCATTGACTGCACATTTAGGAGCATGCAGGAGGAATGAAGGGCATGGTTGGAGGCATGTTGGGTGGTCTCTGCGACAGAAGGTACGCTTGTTGAAACTGCGGCTGGTGCATGTGATGATACTGGTTTAGTGCCGCTCCTGTTGGAGGTGGGAGAGCATACCTCGACATTTGTTGCATCTGCTGCTGTTGGTAAAGAGTATTGACCAGGCCGGATCGGATGTCTGCAATCTCCCGAAGGAAGTTTGACTGCATTGTCTCGACCAGCCCTCTCAACTCTAAAAAATGATCCTTAGAATCATTTGGGACTGAATCTGAACGCTCGGGGCTGGGACGCTTCTCATTCGCGTTTGTACTCCTAGCCTCTTTTCGTCTGGTTCCCTTCAGATGAATAAACGTGCATTCAAGGTTGGTGCAAAGTTTATTCTTGACTGAGTATTTGCACAATACTGGGTGGACGAGCTGGCACCTAGCTCCTTTCTTACAACCACCCTTGTTTTGGTTGCCAAAGCTGCAAAATCTAGGGCAATATCTGGGATGATTGAACTCACATGGACTGCCGTCTACAAGCTTGTTGCCTTTCAGGCCATGAGGACATTTTCCCTTCTTGTATTGCGGACAAACATTTTGATCCTTAGCCACTATTTCAAGTTTATCTTGAAGTTTGGATTGAAAGTCTTCGTCGAGAGAATTGTGCTGATCAATATGAGTTGTCTGACTATTCTCCTCAGACTCAGGTTCAACAACACTTTTATTGCAAGACTGATGAGTAGGGGAGGAGGTCTGACTTTTAAGCTCACTCATAATCCTGGATAGTGTGGGATCAGGTTTGGTGACGCTGTTATGTCTTGATTTAGACTTTCTGGGTTTGAGGGGGTTATGTGTAGCTTTACAGTCCTTACACATCCACACGTGCCCAGATAGGAGACTGATTATAGATGCTTCCAACATACATTTGTGGAAAGTTTTGACATTCTCGCAGTTGTGAGAACCCCGGAAGCATGTGTAGCAAACAAATAAGGGTGGCTCTTCAGCATTCAATTCGACAACATATGATTCGTTGCAGTCACCGCAGGAAGTTGGAAGAAGTGAAGAGATACCAAATATGATGCGGTATACCAATGACTCCTTGGTGTACAGTTTATTGTCATCTTCGTCTGCAAGGTTAATACTGAGAAACTCTGCACATGGCTCCAGAATATCGAGATTGAACTGATTCAGTTGTTTGTAGTTGACGGTACGCTTAGCAAATGGATCAAATGCAGTGAGGACACGTTTAACTAGTACATTAGACTCTGCCCGGAGAAGCAGGCCCCCAATCGCAGTTTTAATCTGATTCTCTGTTTCCATATTGACAAAAATTGACAGTTCACACGTCTTATTCTTCAAATGTACACGTCTTATTCTTCAAATGTACTCGATAATATGTACTATTTCCAATATGTACACAGACCGCCACAGTATGCAGCAGTATCGAGCTGATAAGCTTTTAAAGATAAGGGAGACAAAAAATAGCAACGTATTAAACGAGTATAACGAGTATCGTATACATATATCTTACTTTGTAAACCTATACTACCTTACTTTAATAGCTTATAATTGCAGGTTGGGTTCTATATTACCTTACTTTAATAGTTTACAATTGCAGGTTGGGTTCGGTGAGGTATGGAAAGAGTCACTAACAGAACTGAGCGGGGGACAGAGATCTTTAGTAGCTCTCTCTCTTATCTTATCTCTTCTTCTCTTCAAACCAGCTCCTCTATACATTCTGGACGAGGTAATTATACTTACTATACTAATTATACTTATTATACTAATTATACTAATTATACTAATTATACAAATTATATTAATTATACTTATTATACTAATTATACTCCTCTGTTAGGGAATAATAAAACGTTTCTGTTATGGAATACTGACACGTGTTTTTTTCCAGGTGGACGCAGCGCTAGACTTGTCCCACACTCAGAACATCGGACAGATGTTGAGGGCTCACTTCAAACATTCTCAATTCGTCGTGGTCTCCCTCAAAGATGGCATGTTCCAGAATGCTAACGTTCTCTTCAGGTAGATTGAATATTTATATTATGAATACTGTGCTCTGATTGGTTAGTTTGTGTCACGTGGTGTGAGTACTGTGCTCTGATTGGTTACTTAGTGTCACGTGGTGTGAATACTGTGCTCTGGTTGGTTACTTTGTGTCACGTGGTGTGAGTACTGTGCTCTGGTTGGTTACTTTGTGTCACGTGGTGTTAATACTGTGCTCTGATTGGTTACTTTGTGTCACGTGGTGTGAGTTCTGTGCTCTGATTGGTTACTTTGTGACACGTGGTGTGAGTACTGTGCTCTGATTGGTTAGTTTGTGTCACGTGGTGTGAATACTGTGCTCTGATTGGTTACTTTGTGTCACGTGGTGTGAATACTGTGCGCTGATTGGTTACTTTGTGTCACGTGGTGTGAGTACTGTGCTCTGATTGGTTACTTTGTGCAGTGTCACGTGGTGTGAATACTGTGCGCTGATTGGTTACTTTGTGTCACGTGGTGTGAGTACTGTGCTCTGATTGGTTACTTTGTGTCACGTGGTGTGAATACTGTGCTCTGATTGGTTAGTTTGTGTCACGTGGTGTGAATACTGTGCTCTGATTGGTTAGTTTGTGTCACGTGGTGTAAGTACTGTGCTCTGATTGGTTACTTTGTGTCACGTGGTGTGAATACTGTGCTCTGATTGGTTAGTTTGTGTCACGTGGTGTGAGTACTGTGCTCTGATTGGTTACTTTGTGTCACGTGGTGTGAGTACTGTGCTCTGATTGGTTAGTTTGTGTCACGTGGTGTGAATACTGTGCTCTGATTGGTTACTTTGTGTCACGTGGTGTGAATACTGTGCGCTGATTGGTTACTTTGTGTCACGTGGTGTGAGTACTGTGCTCTGATTGGTTACTTTGTGTCACGTGGTGTGAATACTGTGCTCTGATTGGTTACTTTGTGTCACGTGGTGTGAGTACTGTGCTCTGATTGGTTATAATAAGACCCTCATCCTATCAGGACGAAGTTTGTTGACGGAGTATCAGCTGTTACACGACACACTCAACATTCCTCCACAAAACCTGTTCTGTCTGAGAAGGAGAATATTCAGCCGCTCGTTAAGAAAAACAAAAAACAAAAGGTTTAGTTTCCATGGTGACTGGTGATGTGAAACCTACGTAGTCTTACTTTTTAAACAGTTGCTATTCAAGTAGCTTCTTTTTAAATTATGCAAATTGTCAAGTTGAGAACTAAGGTGGTGTTACCATGGTTACGGATTATTAAAACTGCGTATCAAGATCAGTGCGCGGCTTAATGACTACAAGTGTGTACATGACTAGGGAGCACTGAGTTGCTAACTTTCTCTTGTTTAGTATTATACAATGCTGTTAAATACGTAGCGTTTCAAGCAAACGTATGCGTACGCAATCGTATTTGTCGTCGAAAATTCGCGTATTTCGATTTCCACTGTGGAGTAAGAACGATTTTTTACAATAAATATTTTACAATATTTGATCTGCACGTATTTCGGACAAATTTTAAACGTATTCCGGACAAAATTTAACAGGGTCTAAGTTCAATTTTTTCGGGCTTATTGATTGGAAACTTACGTATTTCTCTCGAACATTGAATACGCCGTATTTTGAGCCGATTTTTGACGTATTTAACAACGATAGTATTATAACACACTTTGCAAAGCAGGCTTACATTTACAACCTTATGTATTGAGTGCTCGTGTTAAAAAGTAAAAGTAATATATACTGTGACTATTCATTATTTGTTATAGTTAATTGTCCTCACGTGGTATTTATCTACGTGTGTCTTATATTTAATATAAAATAAATACTTTTAATCGGTTGATTTAGATTCAAAGCTTTTTTCTTTGTAAATTTTAAACGATCCAGTTTTTAAGTCACAATTTTTAAATTTCTTGTTCTTTTTTAGTTATCTTACTTTTCCCCTAGTTGATGGTAATGCCGTTGACTTTAATAAAAAATGTGCTAATAAAAACAATCATCATTACTTCTCAGTTTATTATAAGATATTTACGTTTGAAATTATGTACTGAAGTACTGACATTGGTTAGCTTGTGTCACGTGGTGTGAATACTGTGCTCTGATTGGTTAATATCTCAAATCTTTAGAGCAGCATTTTAAATCCTGCACCTTTTGTTTGTACCATCATCTTTAAGACCTTATTTATAGTCGCAATGTATTATGCTTAACTTGGACTGTATTTATATTTATATTGTTGTATTTCAGTTACATTTCATTGGAATCTACCGAAACATTACAATTATCCTATTTTTTTTTGTTTATTAAGGGGGCCCCTCGATTGGAAACAACTATAAAGTCGATTTCGAGAGAATTTTGATGAAGACCCCCCCACCCCCCGGCCCCCTTAAGTAGAAATTTGTAAGCGATACAATATAGCAATAGTGAATAGCACTATTCAACGAAACATTTGGAAGTATATCATATATCGGCCCCACCTCGCTTTAAGACTGTTATTTGAGCAACATGTTCGCTCGTATCTCCACCATATCTCCAGTGGATATTAGTGCAGTGGAGATTATTATTATCTACAGAAAGCACATCCAAATAAACAGTATGGAATATGTAAATTATTTCAAACAAATATTGGAAGCAGATCATAGTGATATACAAATTTAAACTATAAATTTAAATAAGAAAAATTGTAATTTTCATAAATAAACCGATTAAAAAAATGTAATCGTATTCAAAATATTCAATCGCATTCAAAACATTTAAACGTATTCAAAATATTTAATCGCATTCAAAATATTTAATCGTATTCAAAGTATTCAATCGCATGCAAAATATTTAATCGAATTCAAAATATTTATTCGAATTCAAAATATTTAACCGTATTCAAAATATCTAATCGCATTCAAAATATTTAATCGCATTCAAAATATGAATATTTAATCGCATTCAAAATATGAATATTTAATCGCATTCAAAATATTTATTCGTATTCAAAATATTTAATCGTATTTAAAATATTTAATCGTATTCAAAATATTTAATCGCATTCAAAATATTTAATCGTATTCAAAATATTTATTCGAATTCAAAATATCTAACCGTATATTTAATCGCATTCAAAATATTTAATCTCATTCAAAATATTTAATCGCATTCAAAATATAATATAATATAATAAGTCACTGAAATATCAAGCACTCTGGAAGTGTTCGGATAATCGTATTTGAATATTGTTCATGTTCCCCGCCATACTGTCAAGGTTCTACTTCTTAATTGTTAGTTGGTTCTGAGATTCTGTATCCTGGCACCTTCCTAACAGTTCTTCTGATAAACTTTTCTTATCCACAGAGTTGCCAAACTGAAATAGTGGCTGTCTGAGTTTGGTGCTGTTACAGTGTTATGTTTTATCTTTATAAATAAATATAAGACATTTAATATATATAGTTTATATCTACTATTATATAGTTTCATGATATTTGATATAAGACATTTAAAACTAAGCTTTTAATATTGTCGTTATGACTTGGCGGGAAGTTACGTAAATCATGATTTTTACTCTGAAAAATTAAATATAATTATAAAGTAGTGTATACATTACCCAGAAGTAATGCTAACACAGTAACAAGTAGTGTATACACTACCCGGTCACTAAGGAGATCAATATTTGAATATAAATATAATATGTATAATACAAGACACAATCAGATGGTTATTAAAAAGTAGATTTTAAAAATTAATCTCACAAAAATCATACTGCACGTTTTTAACTTACCACTTCACCAGATATTTCTTCGCGCGTGCAGAAACGCTGTTTTAGTTGATCAGATCTGATCTCTGTCTTGTATCTGATATCATCTGATCTTCTAGAGTCTAGACATATCATATATTGTTAAATGATTTCACTGTTAGAATAATATAATCAAACTATTGACTATACTGCAGTATAGTGTATATTGGAAATTAGAAAGATCTTTACAATTGAACACTGATTAAAACTGAAGTTTTAAAAGATAATTTTCAGGGGGGGGGGGGGGCATTATTCAGACAAACTCAGTAATCAAACACAAGTAAAACTTTTAAATAACTAGTCTGTAACATATGCTCAGATACAGTAAAGTAGTAGTATTCAACTGAATATATACAGTATACACCAACAATAAAGCAGTAACATTCACTGATTCACTCATATAACGAACGTATAATAATTGGTAAATACATTATAACCGTGGAGAAAAGCGACATAATAAACGTAAGGTAAATTTATAGAGATAAGTCTCATTTCTATCGATGGATAGATGGAAAATTACAGAAGGTGCAAGCGATGTACCCAGGTCAAATTAACCAAAATAATTGGTACGTTTATAATGGCGATAGATCATATCGACAAAAGGGAAATAAGTTGCCGATAGATCCAAATAAAAACAGATATTATCCGAGATCTGGATACGACCATAATATTACCTTATTATTAATAAACTATAAAGTAATACAAGTACTAATAAAGCAATGCCAATATCATTATCGATAAAGTAACATCATTTCTAATAAAATTATATCATTATTACCTAATTATTACCGATAAAGTAATATCATTACTAATAGATTACACAATCGAACAAGGTGTGGTTTATTGAATATAAAATAGAGAATATGAGGATATGAGATTATGTAAGTTTTTAAATACTTATTTGTAAATATATATATTCTAAATGTATTCTCCATTCTAACTACAAAAAAAATGACTGTACATATATATATAGTTAGAATGGAGAGCTTATAGATGTTTTAATGCCTGAAAAGAACTAACATACATCTAAGGAAGCCGTCCACTAAATGTAATACTAACTAACTCACTAACTAATAATACAAAGGGGCTATCTACTCAGGATGTCAAAATCGCAGATTCATTTAAAGCTCACTTTCCTCAATACTGCCCAGGTATTTATTTAACAGTATTGTAGCATTAACACTTAACAAACTATCACTCCCCGTCTTGGCAAATTCTTTAAGTGGTCGAGAGTAAGGAATCAGCAGATCTTTCATATTATCAGTATTCTTGTTTGCTAATGTACATATGATATCACACAGTAATAACTGCTTACTATCACTGTTTAGGGTAGTTGATTGCAGGTGTCGGAAAGCTGTGGTGAAGAAGCTTGCGTGTAGAAACACTGTGTGATGTATATCAGTCCACAGTACTAAACACATGATCGCATCAATAGTCTGCGCAATAACACTGTCACTGGAAGCTGTTTCTAATAACTCTTGTAGGAGTAGAGGTATATTCCCGTGCTCTGTGCTGTTAGCTATTAACTCCTTGATATCCTGCCTATGCAGACAGGTAATGGATCGTAAAATGCAAAATAACCTAACCATCACAGTGTCATCTTTACTCCACTTCTGTAGTAGTTTAGATATAAGGCTTAGAACTCCCTCCTCAACAAGGTGGTCAACATGTGCGTGTTCATCCCCGTTATCATATGCAATATACTGCAGAGTATCTGATATATTACACATAACCTCACTGTCAGTGCAATATTCACATGTTGTTATCAAATGCTTTATAACACCACTTTTAACCAGTGAGCTTATTACAGCTTTATCTTCTAGAGAAGTTACTCTTTCAAGCACATATGTCAGGTTTCTACGATACACCTCCTCAGTATTACTGTCGTACTTTTCACTAAACTTGCTGATAAAGTCAGCTGAAACAAACTTTCTGATTACTTGTTTTCCCAATTCTTCTTCTTCATAAGGTATTGCTCTTATGTTACTGGCTAGCTTTACGATACCTTCCTCAGTGAACATTTCATCTGTCGGTGGTATTAACAGTTGTAATAGCTCAGTTTCCTCAATACTGTCCAGGTATTTGAATAGAAGTATTGCAGCATTTACACTTAACCCACTATCACTCCCCGTCTTTGCAAATTCTTTCAGTAGTTGAGAGTAAGGAATCAGCAGATCTTTTATATTATCAGTATTCTTGTTCGCTAATGTACATATAATATCACACAGTAGGTACTGCTTACTATAATCAGTGTTTAGTGCAGTTGATTGCAGGTGTCGGAAAGCTGTGGTAAAGAAGCTTGCGTGTAGAAACACTGTGTGAAGTACATCAGACCACAGTACTAAACTCCTGATCGCATTAATAGTCTGCACAAGAACACTGTCACTGGAAGCTGTTTCTAATACCTCTTGTAGGAGTAGAGCTATGTTTTCGTACTCTGTACTGTTTGCTATTAACTCCTTGATATCTTCACTATAACCGGTAATGTTCTGTAAAGTGAAAAGTAACCTAACCATCACAGTGTCGTCTTTACAATTACTCCACTTCTGTAGTAGTTTAGATATAACGCTTAGAACTCCCTCCTCAACAAGGTGGTCAACATTTGTGGAATCCCCGTTATCATATGCAATGTTCTCTAGAGAATATGATATATTGCACATAACCTCACTGTCATTGCAATGTTCAAATGTTGTTATCAAAGTTTTTATAACACCACTTTTAACCAGTGAGCTTATTACAGCTTTACCTCCTAGAGAAGTTACTCTTACAAGCACATATGTCAGGTTTCTACGATACACCTCCTCAGTATTACTGTCGTACTTTTCACTAAACTTGCTGATAAAGTCAGCTGAAACAACCTTTCCGATTATTTGTTTTCCCAATTCTTCTTCTTCATAAGGTATTGCTCTTATGTTACTGGCTAGCTTTACAATACCTTCCTCAGTGAACATTTCATCTGTCGGTGGTATTAACAGTTGTAATAGCTCAGTTTCCTCAATACTGTCCAGGTATTTGAATAGAAGTATTGCAGCATTTACACTTAACCCACTATCACTCCCCGTCTTTGCAAATTCTTTCAGTGGTTGAGAGTAAGGAATCAGCAGATCTTTTATAGTATCAGTATTGTTGTTTGCTAATGTACATATAATATCACACAGTAGGTACTGCTTACTATCACTGCTTAGCTTAGTTGATTGCAGGTGTCGGAAAGCTGTGGTAAAGAAGCTTGCGTGTAGAAACACTGTGTGAAGTACATCAGTCCACAGTACTAAACTCCTGATCGCATCAATAGTCTGCACAATAACACTGTCACAGGAAGCTGTTTCTAATAACTCTTGTAGGAGTAGAGCTATATTTCCGTACTCTGTACTGTTTGCTAACTCCTTGATATCCTGCTTATAACAGGTAATTGTCTGTAAAGTGTAAAGTAACCTAACCATCACATTGTCATCTTTACTCCACTTCTGTAGTAGTTTAGATATAAGGCTTAGAACTCCCTCCTCAACAAGGTGGTCAACATGTGCGTGTTCACCGTTATCAAATGCAATGTTCTCGAGAATATATGATATATTGCACATAACCTCACTGTCAGTGCAATGTTCAAATGTTGTTATCAAAGTTTTTATAACACCACTTTTAACCAGTGAGCTTATTACAGCTTTATCTCCTATAGAAGCTACTATTGCCATCACATATGTCAGGTTTCTACGATACACCTCCTCAGTATTACTGTCGTACTTTTCGCTAAACTTTCTGATAAAGTCAGCTGAAACAACCTCTTTGATTACTTGTTTTCCAAATTCTTCTTCTTCATCAGGTATCGCTCTTATGTTACTAGCTAACTTAACAATACCTCCCTCAGTGAACATTTCATTTGTCGGTGGTATTAACAGTTGTAATATCTCACTTTCCTTAATACTGTCCAGGTATTTATTTAACAGTATCGCAGCGGTTACTTTACAGCTGGTGTCCGAACTTATTATTTCTCTAAGAAGTTGATGTTTATTTCTCAGCATATCAACCAATCTAGGCTGGTTTAAGGAAACAATATCTTCACCTAATGACATCTCATAAATACTTATCGTGTTGATCATGAAAAGTATTCTCCCAGCTATATCATCGTTTCTTTTCCAGGTCTCCAGCAGGTATATCATTTTATCATAAAGACCTTCCTCAGCAATGTCTGACAAAAGAACCTTGTTATGTTCGGAAGATACATCTCTTAAGACTGTCACTATGTTTATTATGATATCTGCATCTGTTGAGTGAACACAATCTGTAAGGATGAGCCTCACTATACCTCTATGAACTAGCTCCTTTAAATCTTCCTTATCACCGTAGGATCCGACCCTTCTCAATAAGAAAGTTGCATCCCTCCTAAATTGCAACTCCTCATTACTCTTATACAAATCAACAACCACACTGTAAAAATCAGTTTGTTTCAGCTTCTTTATCACATCTGGGCACACTATTTTATCTTTATCATCAGGAACTGAGCGAAGTTTGGTAGCGAGAGAAGATATTTCCTCTTTTGTACCAAGTTTACTATTTATAGTAATCATCTTACCTACTTCTTGCTCTGGATTGTCTATTCTTATCAGACTGTTCTTATCTTCGACTGAAATGTATTATGAAAAGTTTTCAGACTTTTCACATTAGATTAGAATTAGAAATGCGCTAGTCGAAAGCTTACTCGATCGAGGATATTTAAAATCAGTTATGTTTTAATTTCTCTTCATCTAGCTCCGCACTGTAGAAAGTATGGTTGTTATTTGACCTTATTGGACAATGACAACAAATTTTCAAGTATTTCACCACATCAAAAATATCTATCACATTAACCAAAGTTATGAGAAGTGATAACGTGGGCGTAAAACTGAGCTAACTTTTCGGATTTTATTTGAGCGGACATAAATTGGACGCTGGAGGCCCAAGCGTTTTTTTCTAGTCTATAAAGCGCGACTTAATTTGCCGGAATTTATTAATTATCTTAGGAATATTGCTTTTGACAGAGCAAATTGGCACCGAATGCAACTTTTATAATTCTGTTCTTTAAAAGAAAGATTAGATAGCAGCGTTGTGCTTACACTATCTGTAATTTAGAACTTTGGTATATCTATATCATAAAATTGAATAAATCCCCCCGGCAACGGGGAAAAACGGGGGAAAACACTACTAATTTATCAAGAAATTGCCCTCTAGCGTTACCAATTCTAGCTCGCAAATGGAGTTGAAACCTATCGATTGTTAGCAGGGTTGTAAAAACAGGACAGGAATAGGAGATGGCATTCTTAGAATTTTGATTAAGGCTTTAGATTTTGTTTAAGTAACTTTGGAAGTGAAGTAAAATAAACGTTAGAATAATGGTGCTTTTTTATCAAAGGTTAACTAGGTCATTGCGTAGCAACTAGGAACCGACCGGATTGGGGTTTTGGCTGCCGGACCGGATTCAGCCGGATTTGGATCTCAAATCCGGCAAGCCGGATTTTGCCGGACCGGAACCGGTGGTTTCAGAGTGAAATAAAAGGCAGCCGGATTTTGCCGGTTTTTGCCGGATGTTGCCGGAAAATTTCCTTCCTTTCCACGCCTAATCTTCATCGAGCACTTCTTGCAGCTTGCATAAGGGATCCCATTTTCTTCTGAGTAGAACTACCAGACGGACGATGTTTTAGATTTACTACTACTCGACTCGACTTAGGGCGGCTTCAACGTCCGAACAGATATAGTTTTTTTACAAATCTTCCTATATACTACTAGACATTGCTTAAACAAGCAGTACGTAGCAGACACAATGTAACACGAGTAGACACGAGTCACGACACTAGACGAGTAATAATCAGAAATGATATCTAATTGGCATATGCTGCCAGACCCCTGATTGAGCGCGTTTGTGCGAATTCCCTTTTTTTCATGCAAGTCTGAGTATCATTGGGTCACGTGACTTACAACCAGAGGTGCTTAATAAGGTTGTTCGTAAGCAGGCACTGTCTAGTACAGTACTAATAGAGCTGAGTCACATGATTGCAGTAATGAGCTAATTAAGTAGCTACCCAGACCCTGAACACGTGACCTTCATATTTCGTATTTCATAATCAGAAGATTAAATACTGCCAATTTTGCGATTATAGCCGGGGGCTAGCACAGGGAGGTGGCCCAAAATATTTTCCGGTTTTTTCTAAGTCCGCACCTACCCCTCGATACACTATTCTGTATTCTGGACTCAAGGTTTCCCCCGGTAATGCGATCTCGGAAGGCAGGCCTCCCCTTTGCAACACGAGCTCGGAAGCGGGAGCTCTCGATACAGGAGCTGTACGTCTCGAGAACGACTCGGACCGAAAAACTTCTAAGTCAAAATTTTTCAAAGTTTTTCTGAAAACCACTTTTTTCCACGATTCAGGCTGTTCATTATTAGCCGAAAATATTTTTTCGGTTTTTCGAAGTCCCCAACTACCCCTCGATACACAATTCTGGACTCGAGGTTTCCCCTGGTAATGTGATCTCGAAAGGCAGGCCTCCCCTTTGCAATACGAGCTCGGAAGCGGGAGCTCTCGATACAGGAGGTACGTCTCGAGAACGACTCGGACCGAAAAACTTCTAAGTCAAAATTTTTCAAAGTTTTTCTGAAAACCACTTTTTTCCACGATTCAGGCTGTTCATTATTAGCCGAAAATATTTTTTCGGTTTTTCGAAGTCCCCAACTACCCCTCGATACACAATTCTGGACTCGAGGTTTCCCCTGGTAATGTGATCTCGAAAGGCAGGCCTCCCCTTTGCAATACGAGCTCGGAAGCGGGAGCTCTCGATACAGGAGGTACGTCTCGAGAACGACTCGGACCGAAAAACTTCTAAGTCAAAATTTTTCAAAGTTTTTCTGAAAACCACTTTTTTCCACGATTCAGGCTACCCTGTTCATTATTAGCCGAAAATATTTTTTCGGTTTTTCGAAGTCCCCAACTACCCCTCGATACACAATTCTGGACTCGAGGTTTCCCCTGGTAATGTGATCTCGAAAGGCAGGCCTCCCCTTTGCGATACGAGCTCGGAAGCGGGAGCTCTCGATACAGGAGGTACGTCTCGAGAACGACTCGGACCGAAAAACTTCTAAGTCAAAATTTTTCAAAGTTTTTCTGAAAACCACTTTTTTCCACGATTCAGGCTACCCTGTTCATTATTAGCCGAAAATATTTTTTCGGTTTTTCGAAGTCCGCACCTACCCATCGATACACAATTCTGGACTCGAGGTTTCCCCCGGTAATGTGATCTTGGAAGGCAGGCCTCCCCTTTGCAACACGACACACGAGCTCGGAAGCGGGAGCTCTCGATACAGGAGGTACGTCTCGAGAACGACTCGGACCGAAAAACTTCTAAGTCAAAATTTTTCAAAGTTTTTCTGAAAACCACTTTTTTCCACGATTCAGGCTACCCTGTTCATTATTAGCCGAAAATATTTTTTCGGTTTTTCGAAGTCCGCACCTACCCATCGATACACAATTCTGGACTCGAGGTTTCCCCCGGTAATGTGATCTTGGAAGGCAGGCCTCCCCTTTGCAACACGAGCTCGGAAGCGGGAGCTCTCGATACAGGAGGTACGTCTCGAGAACGACTCGGACCGAAAAACTTCTAAGTCAAAATTTTTTAAAGTTTTTCTGAAAACCACTTTTTTTTCCACGATTCAGGCTACCCTGTTCATTATTAGCCGAAAATATTTTTTTGATTTTTTTTCGGTAAAAAAACTGAAATCCGGCAAAAATCCGGCAAATTTTTTTCCAGCCGGAGCCGGAACCGGAACCGGATTTTGAAGCCGGATATCCGGCCGGAACCGGATTCAGCTGGATTTCCGGTCGGTTCCTAGTAGCAACATCAAGAGATTATACGTGCGCGAGCAACCACAGTACAGCCAAAGGTTAGCAAAGCTTGTTGCCATGCTTTATGGTACTAATGGCAATGCTTTTCTGACAAAGTTACAACGATCTTTTCATGTTGTGCAACCTTTGAACAGGATATGCCCGTTTAAAATATTTCCATCACGTTACATTACACAATTCTCAATAAATGTAATAAATTTGTAGTGTTGTAAAGTTGTAATTAGTTTAAAACTACGTCATAACTAGCTCAAATTACAATTTACGCTATGACTATCCATAATTTTGGTTGTGATTGATTTTTTTTGATGAAGTAAAAAGTATCGATTAGACAATATTTAAACCTTTGTCGTCATTGGCAAGTAAAAATCTATGCAATTTATATTACGGAGCTAGAGCCTAGAGCCTAGATCATATATAATGATAACAAGAAACTATATAACATACTTAACTGATTTTTAATTTCCTCGAAAAACACTTTCAGCTAGCGGGTGTACAGGGTGTACAAGCCTATGAGCTAGGTAGGCAGGTTATAAGGCACAACACTCATACTCGAAAAAAAAAACCTTCAAAATCGTACAAGAAAATGGGTCGTAATATTGTAACTCTCCCTTTGATCACGAATCAATACGAACAAAAAGGTAGATTGATAACAGCATGCATATGAGGTTTAACTATATAAGATGAGTTATAGGAATGGACAGATAGTTTTTCGCTCTATAACACTAACATTAACAGTATAAAGCAGTTGACCCAGGCCGACTCTATCGACCACAAATAAAAGGATGAAACATTTTTCCTGTGACCTTGTATTACTTTTTTGCAGCCGAAAAAACGGTTTTACATAGACCCTAAAGCTATGCATAACCCTAAACATAACCCTGACTATAACCCTAGGGCCTAGCTTGAACAATCGAATTCGTGTTTTACTAGCCTGTCACGTGGCCAAAAAAGTTTTTTGGGCAAAAACAATTTTTTAGCTTATGCATAAGGCGAGCGATTGTATTCTACAAATCTTCTCAGTCACGCAAATGGATGATGATTAATCACTCTACACTCGACTGTCACGTGACTTTCGAGTGTAGAGTGATTAATCCGTTCTCTAGCTGGCCCTGAATTCCTATTCGAAACCCTAACCCTCTAATCTGATCCCAACTCTAACCATAACCCAATCCTTAAAGCTAGACTGCAGCTAGAAGACCCCGGCACAAACAAGAGAAACAGACGACACCAACGAGGCTTCTTGTCGTCAGTCCTGGCGTCATTGCACCAGAACCGCTCACCATCACAACGGCGAGTTCTCGCATTGTCTGACTCTGAGAATCGTACATTTGACTGCTCTCTTCTCAGCGAAAACCTAACCCTCTACATTACACGGATACCAACCCTAACGCAATATCTAACCGAAGCATATGCTAAAACCCCAATCCTAACAGTAACGGGAAATTAGACCTGCAACCTCCTTATATGGTCATATCACGTGATTGAGACACTTTTTCGCCGATATCTCGCCATCATTTGGTAAATTATTTTTTCGTTTTCAGCATTTGCCGTATTATATATAAACATCAATTTTATGAAGATTTTTAATTAACATGCTAAAATATAACTATAAGGGGATTACTTGGTTTACCTTGTGTTCAGAACAGATTTTTGAGGGGTAAAAACCAGCTTGTTTCTTGACAATCTCACGTGAAGCGGTGGGTGAAATTATTCTGAAATTTTTTAGTTATTTTTGCAGTGGTCAAAATGAACAATTTTAGAGCATTGAAATATTTGTAAGTCAAATATGAACTTATCCGTTTTTACACAGTTAGTTACGATCAACGATCATGAAAAGTTAAAAACAGTTTTTACAATAACCTTAAGCTGTTTAGTAGTCCTTTCCTTCTTGTTCGGCTTTGTTTTATAGAGCACTGATTTAACCTGCAAATGACACTTGACACTGACAGTTTTATTAAACATTTTAAAAAATTAAACCAAGTTTAATTTTGTAAAACCTAAAAAATTAATACAGTTTGTTTATACTTTATACCGAAATAAGTACTGGGCACAAACACGTTCAAATAATTAATTAGTGATTAAATTACAATCAATTTAAACATAAACACATAGAAATATATCAATAGAGATTAGGTTGGCTGTTAGGGTTAAGAACTGTCGTAATGTTAATATTTTAGTATTAGGTACTCTAGGTAGATACTCTATGTAATCTAGGTAGGAACTCTAGAGTCTAGGTGGGTACTCTAGGTAGGTACTCTAGGTAGGTACTCTAGGTAGGTACTCTAGGTAGGTACTATATGTAGGTACTCTAGGTAGGTTATCTAGATAGGTACTCGATCTAGTTGGAAACTCTAGGTAAGTACTCTAGTTAGATACTCTAGGTAGGTACTCTTGGTAGGTACTCTAGTTAGATACTCTAGGTAGGGACTCTAGGTAGGTACTCTAGGTAGGTACTCTTGGTAGGTACTCTAGGCAGTTACTCTAGGTAGGTACTCTAGTTAGGTACTCTTGGTAGGTACTCTTGGTAGGTACTCTTGGTAGGTACTCATGGCAGTTACTCTTGGTAGGTACTCTAGGTAGGTACTCTAGGTAGGTACTCTTGGTAGGTACTCTAGTTAGGTACTCTAGGTAGGTACTCTTGGTAGGTACTCTAGGTAGGTACTATTGGTAGGTACTCTTGGTGGGTATACTAGGTAGGTGCTCTATAAAATGGTACCGTAGTAATATAGTGTGGTAACCACTAAATGGTTGGAATCATTTATGCTTACCAAATCGTTTTCAGTTTCACTTTCTGGCTGCCAATCACAAGCTAAAATAGGACTGTTATATAAGCATTTTTGAACGTGCTACAAAATATATGAGTGGTGATTTCGCTCTGAAAATCAAGGACAGTAGCTCAATAGGTAAAGCAAGGCACGCGATATGTCGAGGTTCTGGGATCATTCCCCAGTTGTCCCCAGTTTTTCAGAGTTAATAGGCCCTGCCATCTCGATGTAAAAATAACATAATGGGAACAAAACACAACCTTTTAATATATGTATGTATAATGCTGATATCATCTAACGTAAAACTTATTAAGAAATTATTTATATTTGATCAAACTTCTTAAAGAATCAAACTTCTTAAAATTTATCAAACTTCTTAAATAATCAAACTTCTTAAACTTTCACTTACTGGAGACAAAATAGGCCACAAAAGTTCTATTGTGTCGATCTTGGCCGATTAGGGCAAATTGTCCACCCCATTTATATTGCTGTCTTCGTTATTTTATTATCAATGGTTATTGTTACTATCTTACAGTACTACTAACCGTTTTTTGTAGTACATGCCCTGCTTCCTTCCTTTCCTAAACTACCTTACAAGCTCTTCCTCTTTTACACCCTTTTCAATCACTTCATTTCACTCATTCACTTCATATCTTATTACCACAGTATCTGCCAAAACCAACATGGCCCATGTGGAAGGGGGCCTTGACGTTGTTGACCACTTGGCCCTGCATCCCAAGCTGACGGTCGGCCTCCACTCTCTAAAAACTTACCTTCAGTGAAGGCAGATGGTCAGCAAATAGCGATGCTAGGGCTTGGTGTGAACAAATCTTGACCTACTTTCACACCTTTGGGACAACTCTCGCAAATGCGAGATTTAAGTATTTAAAAAAAAAAAAAAAAAAAAAAAAAAAAAAAAAAAAAAAAAAAAATTATTTGATAAATTAATAAATTATCTTAAGATATTATCAAATTATTTAGACCGCAATATCTGTGACTAAGTAACGGCTTAGTTAAGCTGTTCAAATGACAAAGGCTAGAACCGCACGAAACACCGAGACCTCGAGATGAGAAAAGAATTGCACACACAATACAAACACTAATAACCGGACTCTGTTTACATAAGTTACATTCCAGAACAAGAACAGAATAGCTTCTTCAAGATTAGATCATTAGATCATTAGATCATTAGATCATTAGATCATTAGATCATTAGATCATTAGATCATTAGATCATTAGATCATTAGATCATTAGATCATTAGATCATTAGATCATTAGATCATTAGATCATTAGATCATTAGATCATTAGATCATAGATCATTAGACCAAAACGCGCACGAGTTCAACCTCAGACACCGTCACCACCCTAATAGTAATACTAATAGTAATATCGCATAACCGTAACAAACGCGCTAAATCTCTTTAAGTCAGTTACACTAAGTCAGCTACACTAAAACTTTAAAATTTCTTATGAGGGCCCAACAGATTCAATATATACAATATACATTAACACCTTCATTTGAGTTTTATTAAATAGTACTGGTCAATATTAGTAAAGACTTTATTTATTTCGTTATTGATTGGGTAATCCAAATCATGCGATAGCGTGCTGCAACACCGTGCAATAAGAAAAAAGTTACACACACTAATAACCGGGCACTGTTAACCGGGCACTGTTAACCGGGTACTGTTAACCGGGCTCTGTTAACCGGGCTCTGTTAACCGGGCACTGTTAACCGGGCACTGTTAACCGGGCTCTGTTAACCGGGCTCTGTTAACCGAGCTCTGTTAACCGGGCCCTGTTAACCAGGCACTTTTAACCGGGCTCTGTTAACCGAGCTCTGTTAACCGGGCTCTGTTAACCAGGCACTTTTAACCGGGCTCTGTTAACCGAGCTCTGTTAACCGGGCTCTGTTAACCAGGCACTTTTAACCGGGCTCTGTTAACCGGGCACTGTTAACCGGGCACTGTTAATCAGGCAATGTTAACCGGGCACTGTTAACCGGGCACTGTTAACCGGGCTCTGTTAACCGGGCTCTGTTAACCGAGCTCTGTTAACCGGGCCCTGTTAACCAGGCACTTTTAACCGGGCTCTGTTAACCGAGCTCTGTTAACCGGGCTCTGTTAACCAGGCACTTTTAACCGGGCTCTGTTAACCGAGCTCTGTTAACCGGGCTCTGTTAACCAGGCACTTTTAACCGGGCTCTGTTAACCGGGCACTGTTAACCGGGCACTGTTAACCGGGCACTGTTAATCAGGCAATGTTAACCGGGCTCTGTTAACCGGGCACTGTGGGGGGTAGGAAGCTCAATCTCAATTCTGAAACATGATTTTTCCGAAATTGAGATTGAGAAAATTGAGAAAATTGAGAAAATTGAGAAAATTGAAAAAATTTAAAAAATTTAAAATCTTATAAAATAATTTTTCCGTTTAACTCAGTTCACTGATCAGTCCATAATGTTCCGATTACTGTTGAAATTACGCATACAGGAGTACAATAATCTGTATGTATCGCTGTTACTAGGACATTATAGATGATAAAATTGACTCTGGTAGCAACCATGATCAAAAAACTTAATAAAATTCAGTACTTAGACACTGTAAGACCAGATGGATCATCCTCCTCCTCCTCATCCTCCTCCTCCTTCTCCCCATCCTCCTCAGTCCTTCTCTTCACAGTCCTCTTCAACCTCCTCCTCTTCCGTCCTACGCATCCTCCTCCCCTCAGTCCTCCTCAGTCATCACATGTACAATACCTTCTCAGTCCTCCTTCTCCCCATCCTCATCAAAACGGACTAAAACGGACAAAAACTGTTACGATAATAACATTTAAGCATTTAGATCCTCCTTCCCTCCTCCTCCTCCTCCTCCTCCTCCTCAGTTCTTCTCCTCCTTATCATCCTTCTCAGTCCTCCTACTCATCCTCCTCCTCATCCTCTTTAGTCCTCCTCCTCAGTCCTCCTCAGTCCTCCTCCTTACGGACATATCATTTAGATGCTTCCTCCCCCTCCTTCTCCCCTCCTACCCCTCCTCCTTCTCCTCCTTCCCCTCCTCCTCCTCCTCTTTAGTCCTCCTCCTCAGTCCTCCTCCTCCTCAGTCCTCCTCATCCTCAGTCCTCCTCATCCTCCTCCTCCTCATCCTCCACAGTCCTCCTCAACCTCCTCCTCTTCAGTCCTCCTAATCATCCTCCTCCCCTCAGTCCACCTCAGTCATCACATGTACGATACCTTCTCAGTCCTCCTTTTCCCCATCCTCATCAAAAACGGACTAAAACGGACAAAAACTGTTACGGTAATAACATTTAAATCCTCCTTTCCCCCCCTCCTTCTCCTCCTCCTCCTCCTCCTCCTCTTCTTCCTCCTCCTCCTCCTCCTCCTCCTCCTCAGTTCTTCTCCTCCTTATCATCCTTCTCAGTCCTCCTACTCATCCTCCTCCTCATCCTCCTCTTTATCAGTCCTCCTCAACCTCTTCCCCCTCCTCCTCAGTCCTTCTTTTCCTCAGACCTTCTCAACCTTCTCCTCTCCAGTCCTCCTACTTTTCCTCCTCCTCCTCAGTCCTCGCATGTACAGTACATTCTCAGTCCTCCTTCTCCCCACCCTCATCCTCCTCTTCCTCCTCAAAAAACGGACAGAAACGGACGTAAATCGACATAAACGGACAAAAACTGTTACGATAATAACATTTAGATCCTCCTTCTCCCCTCCTCCCCCTCCTCCTCATCAGTCCTCCTCCTCAGTTCTCCTCCTCCTTAACATCCTTCTCAGGCCTCCTACTCATCCTCCTCTTTATCAGTCCTCCTTCTCCTCAGTCCTCCTCTACCTCTTCCCCCTCCTCCTCAGTCCTCCTTTTCCTCAGACCTTCTCAACCTCCTCCTCTCCAGTCCTCCTACGCATCCTCCTCCTCCTCAGTCCTTCTCAGTCCTTGCATGTACACTGTACAGTACATTCTCAGTCCTCCTTATCCCCACCCTCATCCTCCTCCTCCTCAAAAACGGACAGAAACAGACGTAAATGATCATAAACGGACAAAAACTGATACGGAAATAACATGTAGATGCTTCCTCCTCCTTTCCCCTCCTCCCTTTCCTCTTCCTCAGTCCTCCTCCTCCTAAGTCCTCCTCCTCAGTCCATCTCCTCAGTCCTCTTCCTCCTCAGTCATCGTTCTCAGTCCCCCTCCTCCCCATCCTCATCCTCTTCCTCCTCAGTCCTCCTTCTCCTCAGTCATTCTCCTTCTCCTCCTCCTTTTCCTCCTCAGTCCTCTTCCTTTTCAGTCCTACTGATCCTCCTCAGTGTTCGTACTCCTCAGTCCCATTCCTTCCTTCTTTTCCTCTTTATCCTCCTTCTCCCCAGTTCTCCCCTCCTCCACTTCTTCCTCAGTCCTCCTCTTCCTCAGTCCTCCTCCTCTTCAGTCATCCTCTTCCTCCTCAGTCCTTGTATGTACGACACATTCTCAGTTCTACTCTTCTTCAGTTTTCTCCCTTCTCTTCCCCCTTCTCCTCCTCAGTCCTCAATCCTTATTCTCCTCCTCAGTCTTTCTCAGCCCTCCTCCTCTTCTTCGGTCTTTCTACTCATCCTCCTCCTCTTCCTCTTTATCCTCCTCACCAGTTCTCCTCCTCCTTTACCTCTTACTCAGTCCTCCTCTTCCTCAGTCATCCTCTTCCTCCTCAGTAATTGTATGTACGGCACATTCTCGGTTCTACTCTTCTTCAGTTCTTCCCCTTCTCTTCCTCCTTCTCCTCCTCAGGCCTCAATCCTCATCCTCCTCCTCAGTCTTTCTCAGTCCTCCTCCTCCTCCTCCCCCTGTTCGGTCCTCCTACTCATCCTCCTCCTCTTCCTATTCATCCTCCTCCTCCCCAGTCCTCCTCTTCCTCCATCTCTTCCATGGTCCTCCTCTTCTTCTGTCCTCCTCCTCCTCTGTCCTTGTATGTGCGACACATTCTCAGTTCTACTCTTCTTCAGTTCTCTCCCTTCTCTTCCTCTTCCTCTTCCTCTTCCTCTTCCTCCTCCTCCTCCTCCTCCTCCTCCTCCTCCTCCTCCTCCTCCTCCTCCTCCTCCTCCTCCTCCTCCTCCTCCTCCTCCTCCTCCTCCTCAATCCTCATCCTCATCCTCAGTCTTTCTCAGTCCTCCTCCTCCTCCTCCTCTTCAGTCCTCCTACTCATCCTCCTCCTCTTCTCTTCATCCTCCTTCTCCCCAGTCCTCCTCCTCCTCCACCTCTTCCTCGGTCCTCCTCTTCTTCAGTCCTCCTCCTCCTCAGTCCTTGTATATAAGACACATTCTCAGTTCTACTCTTCCTCTGTCTTCTTCCTCCTCTTCCTCCTCCTCCTCCTCAATCCTCATCCTACTACTTATACTCGGTCCTCCTCAGTCCTCCTCCTCCTCCTCCCCAAACCTCATCCTCCTCAGTCCTCCCCCTTCTCCTCAGTCCTCCTCCTCCTCTTCCTTCTCAGTCCTCCTCCACTTCCACCTCCTCCTCCTCCTCAGTCCTCCTCCTCCTCAGTCCTCCTCAGTCCTCCTCAGTGCCGTCTTCCTCCTCAGTACTCCTCCTCCTCATTTTCTAAAAACGGACAAAATCGAACGGACAAAAACAAACATGAGCCCTGAAATCTCTCTGAAAGTTATATTAATGATATATTTGTGTAACAAGGCTGTCTCAACCTTTACTTTTTTTTATATATCTTGTCACCACTCCTGGAGTAATGGATATTATATCTTTATTTCAATAAATATAATAATCAATAAAATGGAATAGAATCTTGTCTTCTATTCAGCTCACTCTTCTAAAAGCTCTCCCTCTACATTCTCAACCTCATTCTCAACTTCATCATCTTCCTCATCTTCCTCATCAACATCATCACCCCTGTTTTCATCATTGGTGGTGTGTGCAAGATTGAGGTCGAGTTCGTCAACAGGTATTGCTTTCTCATAATACCGTCCTCTGTGTCCTCTCACTGCTATCAAAACTGTTTTAAGTAGCTCAAACCTCAAACGATGTCTTAGATTCGCCATGATGAGGCTTTTGTCCCGGCTGGTCTTGGCTGCCAGAAGTGTTGCTACTCTTTTAAGGAACATGGTAGCCCGTGGGCTCATACCTCCGTTGGTAGAGAATACAAGACCATTGCAGGTTCCTTTTTCAATCTTTACACAGCGGTCTCCATATTTCCTTTCTTTCTCTCTCTCTCTCATGCTTACTGTACAACTTTTCTGGGGTGTCTTGATTAGTGTTGGATTTGGCTCCGGGCTGTAAAACCCTAATATCAAAAAATGCCATCTCCATCGGTGACCACAGACCTCTAGCTAGTCTCAACCTTTACTAGTTACTATTTCCTTCGAAATAGCTCAAAATGAATTTTTGATTTTTCTGTTATGGTTAAAGTAAATTTTTGAAAAAACAAAAAACAAAAAAAATGTTATCTCCCCCTTATACATTACCTACTAACAATCATATCTGTCCCCTTTAGCAAAACCATGGGTCGTTCACGTGATGATTACTTTGATCATATTTTACCTAATCATTTCTACTATTTAATATTATGCATGCGTTTTATTGCTCAGCAGCTGTTCAAAAGGATCAAACTCAAATATAAGATAATTAATCATTTCACAGTAATAAGTTTGAAACATATTTTCATCATACATTTAGCTCGTGTATGAATTAGTTACTTGGAAAGATAAAGATGTCCATTTTTCAATTTTCTCAATTTTCTCAATTTTCTAAATTCTGAAACACGATTTTTCCAAAATTGAGATTGAAAAGATTGAGCTTCCTACCCCCCCCCCCCCCCCCCCACTGTTAACCGGGCTCTGTTAACCGGGCTCTGTTAACCGGGCTCTGTTAACCGGGCTCTGTTAACCGGGCTCTGTTAACCGGGCTCTGTTAACCGGGCTCTGTTAACCGGGCCCTGTTAACCAGGCACTTTTAACCGGGCTCTGTTAACCGAGCTCTGTTAACCGGGCTCTGTTAACCAGGCACTTTTAACCGGGCTCTGTTAACCGGGCACTGTTAACCGGGCACTGTTAATCAGGCACTGTTAACCGGGCTCTGTTAACCGGGCACTGCTAACCGGGCTCTGTTAACCGGGCACTTTTAACCGGGCTCTGTTAACAGGGCTCGAACGAAACCCGAGACCTCGAGATGAGGAAAGGATTGTACACACAAAAACTAATAACCGGGCTCTGTTTACATAATTTAAATTCCAGAAGTAGAACAAGAACAGAATAGATTCTTCAAAATTAGATCATTATATCGCATAACGAACGCACTAAATCTCTCTACAGTCTACACTAAAACTTTAAGATTTCTTATGAGGGCCCAACAGATTCAATATATACGATCTACATATTATATAAACACCTTCATTTGAGTTTTATCAAAGAGTACTGGTAAATATTAGTAAAGACTCTATTTATTTCGTTATTGATTGGGTAATACAAATCATGCGATAGCGTGCAATAAGAAAACATGACAGTTACGCAGTATGAGAGGACCAGGATCGGATCAAGGAATGAGGAAATCAAGACAAGGTCTGAAGCTGAATACTGAACAGTTAGGCATGGACCGTGAGCGGTAGAGCAGGCAGATAATAGATTTTGTCAGTTCACATTTGCAGATAAGAGCTTGGCATATTTGGTCATCATATGCATCTCAACATGAGTTTCAGTTATGGGGAGTTGGTCATGTGAATAAAGTGAAACTCCCCCGCCAACCCTAGCGTTCCTATCAGTATCACTTCTGAACAGTGTGAATGAATATTATCCAGGAATTTCAACTCAATTTTGCCGCTGAAGTACTGACTGGAGTATTAGCACCAGATGGTGCCTTTGAATCGGCTTTGCTGGCGTTCTTGGACAATTTGGTTTCTTTCGTTTAGCTGGGTTATTGGTACTGTGACATGAGACCGTCGACGAGTCTAACTCAGCGCGTGTCTTGGTAGGTTATAAACCTACAACCTAATCCAAATCCTACCCCTAACCCTAAACCTAACTCTAACCCTCTGATGACCCGATAGAGGATTCTATGAAGCACACCTAAATAATTACCAAAGTAAAGTAGCCATCTACGTATATATAATTATACTTATCTACTAATTAGGACGTCCGGCAAATAGGGACTAGGGAGGGGTGGTTTTTGGTTTTGGAATTTCGGGCAAAACCGGACAGGGGGAGATGGTTTCTAAAAATCCGGACGTCCTGAAATTTTAGCAGAATTAACGAAAAAGTCCCATTTTGCATTTGATTCACGATGTCAATCATTCGCAGCTCGGCGAGGCCCAGTGGTGCATCTCGCCGATCTAGTTCTACCGTGTACCGAAGATCGGTAGATCTTAAAGTGGATGCGAGTTAACGGGTGATACTCGTAAAATATTTGTTTCAAATATTATACCGTCGACAAGTCCAACTCAATATTTTGAACTCCGCTAAATTCATGTAATTATATTTATAAAGTAGAAATTATATTATTGTAACTATTATAAATCAAGAGGCTTGCATATAATGAACATATTGACACGGGTGCAGAGTTGAGTCTGTACGGAACCTAGTAGTTTCAGATCCTTGTTTAACTTGCCGTACAGCAAGGTCATCCACTACTTTAGCCCGGCGAGGCACATAACTCCCTCTACAACTCCATATCAAATGTTTCATATATACTAGCCAAGTCACAAGATATATCCTTGTGTTTGAGAAGAGTTCGTTAGAACTGCTTCCTTTCCCTTCAGTATCCCACAGTCTCTCGAGTTTCGTAACTGCCAGAGAACTCTCTTAAACAATTACTAGACTCGGTGATTATAAATCAAGAGGCTTGCATATAATGAACATATTGACACGGGTGCAGAGTTGAGTCTGTACGGAACCTAGTAGTTTCAGATCCTTGTTTAACTTGCCGTACAGCAAGGTCATCCACTACTTTAGCCCGGCGAGGCACATAACTCCCTCTACAACTCCATATCAAATGTTTCATATATACTAGCCAAGATCACAAGATATATCCTTGTGTTTGAGAAGAGTTCGTTAGAACTGCTTCCTTTCCCTTCAGTATCCCACAGTCTCTATAACTGCATGTCAGTAAAAGTGAAACATTAAATCATAACAAGTGTTTTCCAAAACGAATTTTTCTTTTAAAACTCAACAGCCAACACGTACAAATGTAACCATGGTAACATAACGTAATAAACATCTTGTCACTCTTTGACTCTTTAATAGTGTCACGTGTTATAAGTAAAATGCAAAAGTGTTCTTTTGTCACATCCCACTATTCATCTAGCATGGCGACTTCTACTTGCCCCACGAAAAAGGACATAAAATGTTGTAACATTTGGCAAACTTCTACACTATATTATTATTAACAATAAAGCTAACAAATATAAATCACTCCACATTCCACACGTAATATCTACATTTCTTTACAAAACACCCCATAAATATATATCAAATTACAAACATAATTATCAATTAATCGTTATGTTATGTTTGCTTCTCAATAGATTCTAAAAATGGTGGTTATGATTGAATTATTGGAGAAAAACAAAATAAAATATCATGGTAACGGTAACGGCACTACAATCATGCATGACACACAAATATTTGTAACATCTGTCTTCATGAATGAGATACAACTAAAATCGTTTCAACTAACAAATTTATTTAAATAAAAATATAACTAAACATGATTTCAGATTTTGCCACACAACGTGATAGGCCACTTTTGCGGCAGTAAATGAGCGCTGCCCGTACAGCGTGTAAAAAGGCATTACTTTCGTTGCATAATTAGCATTGTAAAATGTAAATGTGTCAATAACTAAATATCAGTGTCCCCTGCGTCTTCTACTGGATTTAGAAGTGTAAAATAATACACGTGATCACTGTAACTATGGTAGCCAGTGTTTCTTATGACCACGCAACTATGGTAACCAGTGTAACTATGGTAACCAGTGTTTCTAATGATCACTCTACACGTGACGTCTCACTCCAAGATAAGCCTTCTCAGGAGTGTTTCTGATCACCGCGCTCGCCTCTGAACTGATACTCTGCCCTCTCTGACCACTCCGTATAGGTTTAGCTGAGGTGATAATTGTTAGGGACGTTGTGTGACGTCATGTCACATGGTGTGACGTCATGTCACATGGTGTGACGTCATGGCACTTGTTCCGTGCGGCAATATCCGTTAAATCTCGATAGATTAAGTACAAGATCTGCTCACAAAACATGATTTCTATCTCAGCAAAATTAACCAAAAATGCGAACAACTATTTACTGGACAGACTTAAACTGAAACTATTCATACAAAAGAGTATTTCATACCAATATGAGCAGATGTTTTCTGGGCAGGTTGCTTGCGGAGTCGTGTCCAGGACTTCATCTGCTCGATCTCTTTCTGCATCCTCTGTCTGTCCTCTATACCCCTTTCCTTGCTCTCCTTCAGAGCTACCTCCAGGTGCTTCACCTGGACAGTGCGATATTAATTATAGTTTGTCACTGTCTCCAGTTCCAATTAGTGATAAGTTAATAGCAACACATGTTGGTAATTAGTGACTCAGTGACTGATAAAAGGTAATAAGTAACTGTGAAGGGGGTGAGCAGGATATCTCATAGATGGTGTTAGGTGTGGCTTAATTAATTGGAGGGGTGTGCACTTCGTCTTGGTGAGGCGGTTGCGGTGGGTGGTAGCTGAGGAGTAGGTTACTTTGATGTCGTGTTCCCCGAGTATATTATGATGAGATATGATTATATAAATAAACTATAAACTATAAAACTAACCCGCTCTATTTTAGCCATCAGTCTCCTCTCCATCTTGGGTAGCTCGCATCTCAGCTCGGAGTTATCCCTAACTAATTGCTTGTGTACATTAGTCAGTTGATCCAGGTTGTTCTCCAGGAACGCTATTCTCTGCCTCTCTATCGTACTGGAGTCGTCTTCATTGACCTGGTTAGGAAAGTTAGTTGAACCATAGTAACAAGATTGTTAGGAATGTTAGTTGTAACCATGGTAACAAGATTGTTAGGAATGTTACCTGAACTGTAACCATGGTAACCTCACATACCTGAGTGTTGGTTTGTTTTATCCTGCTTTGCAGATCGTCCACAAATGCGACTCTCAGTGCGTTAATATTAGCAAGCTCTTTGTTTGCTATCTCCTCAATTCCGCGCGTCTCTTGTCTTGCACGTGCTTTTAGGTCTAATTGGTATTCCAGCTCTTTCAGCTTCTTAGATATTACCTCCTTGTTCATTTGTTCCTCCTCTAATAGACTCCTGTGAGAGTGAATTAGCAAATACAGCACTTTTATACTGGTTCTTAAATCAACTGAGGGAAAAAACTTTTTTCTTAGGCAGCAATAATTACGTTATTACAAAACCAAACTAACAAAGTACAACTCTAAATGAAGCTATATATCTAGACATCTCCATCTTATTTATACTAGAAAATATCTAGTTATCTATACTAGAGAATAGAGCCGCGCAATAAACCCGACCCACATTACAGTTCGCCTGAACTAACTTGATCCTGTTCTGTTTATGTTGCTCCTCTTGGTATTTCTGTTCGTGGTTTCGCAGCTGTTTCTCTCTGTCCGCAATGTCCTCTTTTAAAGAGGACAGCTGTCTCTGGTAACTCTCTCTTGTACTCTCTATCTGCTGTTCCAGTGAGCTCTTCAGTAGTGATGCTTCCTGTAAAGTGTAAAGTTTGTAAATTTTGTAAAGTTTGTAAACTTTGTAAAGTTTGTAGAGTTTGTAAAGTTTGTAAAGTTTGTAAAGTTTGTAGAGTTTGTAGAGTTTGTAAAGTTTGTAGAGTTTGTAGAGTTTGTAGAGTTTGTAAAGTTTGTAGAGTTTGTAAAGTTTGTAGAGTTTGTAAAGTTTGTAAAGTTTGTAAAGTGTAAAGTTTGTAAAGTTTGTAAAGTTTGTAGAGTTTGTAGAGTTTGTAAAGTTTGTAGAGTTTGTAAAGTTTGTAAAATTTGTAAAGTGTAAAGTTTGAAGAGTTTGTAGAGTTTGCAGAGTTTGTAAAATTTGTAAAATTTGTAAATTGCTGTGTTGTTTTGAGACAGCAGTTTAAAGAAGATATGAGGAATAAAAGTAGAATGGACGAATTCATAATCAGCTGAAGATTAGTTTACCTTCTTTCCCTGGTTGACACTGGCAATTCTTGTTTCCTCCAGTTCACTTAGTCGCGCACATTCCGTGTTCAAGAAACCAATGTCCTCCTCCAGCTTCCGCTTCCTTTTTAATGGAATGGAAATTAATTGTCAATAAATGATAAATCTTATTAATGAAACATAATAAACACAGTAGTAAAACTAACTCCAGTATTATATCACGATATTGATTGAATTTGTATAACTTGTAAATATTAATAATGATTTGTATTTTGTAAGAAATAAGCGTTGTTGAGAAGTACCTTTGTTCCGCGTCCTTCAGTTCCTGCTCTAAACTAGCGGTCCTGCTCTCCCCCTCTTCTATCGTCAACTTGGCATCCCTCACACAGTTCTCTAGTACTGCTATCTTACTCAGTGCTTCATTGTAGTTTCCTGGGTAGTTGCTGGTTAGTGGACTATATTATGGCCCTTGTAGTAGACGTTGCTACCTGGTAGCAGACGCTGCGGGGGGGGGGGGGGGGGGGGACGCTGTAAATTGTAAATTCAACTTTTGTTAGACATTCTCTGCAAACAATACAGAATTATTGGAGAATCTATTAGAATACTCGAAAGGAAAGTGTAACGATTCCCTTATATTATGTTAACCAAACAATACCAAACGTGAAAGTGAAAGTAAAACACAAGTAGCAACAGTATAAATACCAGTCTGTTTCCTCTGTTCCTGAGTAAGAGACTCAACCATAGTTTTAGTCTTGTTAGCGTATACACGTGCCATAGTGAACTGTTCCTCCACCTTACTAAAGTCCTCCTCTATAACGTTAGTGTCCAGTACGATCTGTTCCCCTAGTATACCTCCAATACCACACACCTCCTCTATTATCTCACTTATACCTGAAAGTGAAAGTGAAAGTCTACTGTTGAAAATGGTTTCACCGGCGAAGAGAAGGACGCAAAGGATAATATTCAGGATGTTATAATAGGACCAGTGACTGTATATATAAGACCAGTTGAGTACAGTAACTGTATATAAGATACCTTTAGCACTCCGGCTAGTTTGCTGGTTGTATTTCTGTTTCCACTGCTCTAAAGATGATCTGGCTTTCTCCGCTTCGTGCTGTGACGGAAATTAATTAGTAATTAGTAATTAGTAATTAGTAATTAGTAATTAGTAATTAGTAATTAGTAATTAGTAAATTAAACTAAAAACGTATTTCTAGGGACAAACAAAGAAACAAGCAATGAGAATAAAAACTGCTGCTAAATATAGATTGTTTAATGAAATAAGCAATTTTAAAACCCTGAAGAACTTAATTAAGAGAACAATGATTTAGAAAAACTTATAAATGCTACTGAAAAGTCCGGAAGACGTTTTAAAATCCTCACCTAAAACTGTATCTAATAATAAAAGTATCTAAAACATTCAAAATTAAATAAACTGGCACCCAAAAAACGAAAAACAGCAGTTGTTTAAGATCAGTACCACATTCTATATGTGCTACAGAATTTCATTACTGTAAATCATTGTGATAAAATATGCTGCTGTAATGAAAAATAGTATAGTAAATAGTTTTATGCATTCTGTTCTCTGTTTAATGTAGAGAAGCTACAGAAGGTTATTTATAGAGATAAAAAAGCAAGCACTGACTAATTCTTCAAAATACTGGAACATTCTGAAATAAACTACTTACACTTTTCTGGTCCATTTCGGCTAAAATTCTGGAATTTTCCTTTATCCTCGTCTCAACTTCTTCCGTTTTTTCATCCAAATTAGCCGCAACTTGCTCCAACGCAGCCATCACCTGTTAATTAGATAATAAAATTAGTTAAGATTTAATGTTTACTTGCTTCCAACTTAAATTGTAGCTCAATGTCGTGATTGGTAATTGGTATATTCGCAGGAATGACAAAAGAATTAATAAGTTAATTGACGTATTCATTAGCAAAATAATTAACTAATTAGCTAATTACCTGTTTTATCTCCTCCTGAAGTTTCTCTCGCTCCATGTCAATGTTCAGCATCTCGTTACCCATGTGTTCATTCTGCTGTGTTACCAGTGTTGCAGCCTGTTAAGCGTATATCTGTTAAACTTACAATGATAAACTAACTATTATAAACTAACAATTATTGACTTACAATTATAAACTTACAATTATAAATCCAGAAATACCAATATATATCGTGGGTTAAGATGAAGCTATGACGCATGGAAAACATCATACTAATGCACCACCCTACAATAATAATATTTTCAACACTACTATATAACAAATAATTTGAGATCATGAATACGATATTGCAACATTGAAACGTTGAGTAATTCCTTTCCTGATAAGAGCATTTTTCCTTGTCGCATCAAACGGGATCAATACAAATTCACACAAGAATACACTACAATAATAAGTACACAGAATCCTAGCTCACTTGTTTCTCATCTTCCAGCTCGTTCTTCAGTTTCTCGATACTCTGACTCTGCTTGTTTATCTCATCATCCTTATCATCCAACGCTTTGTACAAACTGTCTCGCTCCTGGGATATTACTATGGTTACATTCCTGAGATATTACTTTGATTACATTCCTGGAATACCACGGTTACATTGTACAGGTTACCATGGTTACGTTGGGCAGACTGTGCCAGATTTTTGTAATCAACAAAATGTACAAAATAATCTTTTTCTTTAAGCTGAATACAAAAGGTGGTATTTGTTTCTCAAGTATTAAACTTTCCTTGTGTTTGCGTAACTCACCTTAACGAAAGCGATTCTCTCAGCCTCGCTAGCGTTGTTGACTCCCAGTAAGTTACTAATACTAACAGTAGAGGGCGAGGGAGACAGGTCGAACCCAGGTTGTAATCTAGCACTTTCTGATCCGTCTCTTATCTTCGTCTGCTCGTCTTCTGATACCGCCTGAGTTTCAGTTGGTATAGTTACTAACTAGTAACCAAAGTTACTTAATAGTAACCATAGTTACTTACTTGGAAACACACGAGAGACAGTTTCAGTTGTTATAGTAACTCACTATTAACCATAGTTACTTACTTGTAACCATATTTACTTAATAGTAACCATAGTTACTTACTTGTAACCACACGAGAGACACTTTCATTGTTATCGTAACTCACTTGGAGGTTATTTTGACAATTATTTAAAAACGATGAAATTAGAAAAAGTTCGATAACGAGACTTCGACTGGTTGTCTAGATTCAAATAGATCCTTATCATCAATTGGCAAGTTGGGGGGGGGGGGGGGGGGCAGACCGTATAAAAGTATTATCAAATTCAAGCCTTAATCGCATCATCTCAATCTGTATAATATGTTGATTGTTGATAAGCACCGTACGCGTACCAATTGTAATTAAGTTCAGATTTAAGAGAATGATGTTATTATTTATTCGTCCCTTGGCAGACACTCAGGCACTGCCTTAATCGGGTGATTCTGCTAGGGAACCAATCAGAGCGCAGTATATGTATCACGTACACAAACCAACCAATCAGAGCGCAGTATATGTATCACGTACACAAACCAACCAATCAGAGCGCAGTATATGTATCACGTACACAAACCAACCAATCAGAGCGCAGTATATGTATCACGTTCACAAACCAACCAATCAGAGCGCAGTATATGTATCACGTACACAAACCAACCAATCAGAGCGCAGTATATGTATCACGTACACAAACCAACCAATCAGAGCGCAGTATATGTATCACGTACACAAACCAACCAATCAGAGCGCAGTATATGTATCACGTTCACAAACCAACCAATCAGAGCGCAGTATATGTATCACGTACACAAACCAACCAATCAGAGCGCAGTATATGTATCACGTACACAAACCAACCAATCAGAGCGCAGTATATGTATCACGTACACAAACCAACCAATCAGAGCGCAGTATATGTATCACGTACACAAACCAACCAATCAGAGCGCAGTATATGTATCACGTTCACAAACCAACCAATCAGAGCGCAGTATATGTATCACGTACACAAACCAACCAATCAGAGCGCAGACTAGGGTTTAGAGCTCAATTTCTTCTCATCATCTTATCTTTTATTATCTTATCTATAATTTGGTACAAATACTCTTGATGAAACTTCTATTAGAGCTCAATTTCAAATTAATAATTTCGGTTTGCTAATTCATTGTAAAATTCATTTTCTTAGAGCCGAAAAGGTATCCTATACTAGTATGGATTGAGATATAGCACTATAGCACCCATCTTTCTTCTATACTGATGTTGTTAAAGTAAAAACTGATAATTCTTCAACTCATTTTAGGAAGACCATATCATGCTTTCCTTGGTGCGGATCCTGTTATCTTTGGTAACACTCGTGCTCGGCTATGTTGTTGTTGTCCCGGACGGTGCCGGTGGTTCTAAAGACCATCAGTTACTTGGCCCGTGCAAGGTTATTGAGGTTGCTGACATAGCAACCATCTACATTTATAACGGAGTCCACCATGATTCCACCATGCATTTGAAGTGGTCAGATAGTGTTGGACGCCCCGATGCCAGCGGACAGATGAACCCAAGAGGGAATTCTTTGACCGGCTACGTCAACTTTCCAGATGACAGAAGATACTCCTTCCACTTCTACCCAGAGGAGGATACAATATACTGGGACGGAGATAAGGGAAGCACGGGAAATATTTGGAGAAATGCTAAACGACAATGTGATAGTAACATTGCAGTGGAAAGGCAACATGTAATGGCAATATGTAAGGGAGAAATGTGAAATGTGAAATGTGAAATGTAAACAAGTCTGCGTACCTGAAGAAGCTGCAATTTTGCAGGAGGCTCACAACTTTTATCTTTTACTCATAAAATGAACACTTTTAGACAAGTTATCTTTAAAATATGATACGGTGTGATTATTCAATTAATGCTCAATTTGGAATTTTTCTTTTCAGAAGAGGTACAGGTCACTATTTCAATGTAATTTTATCCAATTATACCATTCTAATCTGTACCTCAATAAACAATAAATTGTTTATCTATTTAAAGTTAACAAGATAACTGTTGCTCACCTCGCCTTTTCTCCATTTCTGTAGTTCAGTATCACACTTAGCTAGCAGCAACTTCAATCTCTTGTTCTTCTCAACCTCCTTCTCGTACCTGCGAGGAAACTGTGTGATGGTGGTGTGTAACCATGGTGATTGTGCTGTTACTAACGTTAAACTTGTAGTTTCTCAAACACAAGGAAATATTTTCAACCTACCGAAGACGCCACTCCTCCGCAGTGAGCTCAACGTTTACTGTCACTGTGTTCTTGATAGTCTTGGCACGTGTTCCGAATAGTACAGTAGACTTTGTTTCACTTTCGTTATACATTGAGGGGGAGCAGCAGATCACTATTGTAGTGCGCGCATTTCCACCTGAAAACAAACAATAAACACGGGTTTAACATTAACAGTGAGAAGGTTTCGTCATGAATCTGATGAAATAGTCATCTCATACCATATTTACGAATAATTCTAACCGCATCCTTTAAATTACATAACAATTAAAAAAAACCACATCCACATTAACAACCAAATGTCTACAAGCTATGATAAAACATTAATTAATTAATTAATTAATTAATTAGGTAATTAACGTTACCTAAACTCTCTTGAAGGACTCTAGTCATCTTACTATCCCGGTAAGGTATGTGAGATTGTCCCTCTGATAGAGCTGCGATAACGTTGCCAAGCGACGACAGCGACTTGTTAATATTCTTAGCTTCGTCTAATGTCATCCCTTCTGCTTGTGTTTTACTGACCTGGAAGTTGTTGTGGTTACATTGAGAACCTACATTTTATCATTTCAAGATCTATTGGGTGAGAAATTATGTAAAAACGTTTATAAATTTGCCTAAAATATTAGAAAATAGTTAGATGTTTACCTTCTCACTACCAGCCAGATCGACCAGGTAGAGTTTGCCGTTAAGTTTCTGCTGAGACTCCATGTTTACTTGTGAGATTGAGAGCTGGAAGACACTGTGGGACCGAGAACTGTGCTCGTTCATGTCTGTAATTAAAGAGTAGAGTAACTTACTAGTAACTATAGTTAGTAACCATAGTAACCAAGGTAACCATTTTTGGCCAATGTTAACCCTCCTCCCTCTCCGTAAGCAGTCCAGCACACAACATGGCTAGTTTATTCAAATAACACTAGCGTAATCATTTAGAAACCCCTTCCTCCCTCCCCTCCCTCCCCTCCCTCCCTCCCCTCCCTCTACTCCCCTCCCCTAAGTTAATACGTAAAATATTACCAGTCTCTTCCTGTGTATAATTACTCACTAGTGACGATGTTTCTAATGAAAATGTCTCATGATTCCATGTATTGTGACAAAATAATACACGGAATCATCAGAAATATCACATTTCACAATAATGCGACTAATAAACAATGTTCCTATCCGGATATTACATCACTAGTAACCATAGTAACTTACTAGTAACAATAGTAACTTACTAGTAACGGAGACAGCTCTGTTAGATTTCCCCTCACTTATAACATCCATTATTTCCTCAGGACTTCCCACAAATCTCTCAGTAACCCCCTTCACGTAAGGTACCCTGCATTTATCCTCGTGTATCGGCAGATTCGTCTTCGTGGCTGATGGGGTAGTTTTTTAAACCATGGTAATCCTTTAGTAACCGTGGTAACCCAACCCATTAGTAACCATGGTAACCCCATAGTAACCACAGGTATATTGGCTATATGGGAGTGGCTCCACTCCACTTTACGCCTCTTCCCCAACCAAATTGTTCATCTCCTAATTTACATTCCTAAGTCCACACGGAAGACGTTACGTAAAGACTGATTTTCCGCGAAAAGACATTACAACTTTACAAGATTTCAGAGAATTCGGAGCGTTTCGCGATAAAGACAATTTCGCAGTAAAGACACGAGGTGACGTGGTCGATATAACGTAAACTAGACTTTACAGTTACTTATACAGTATATGATAGGGTTCCTGCTCTTATCAATATCATGAGTTCATAATATCTAAAATCAGAAGACTGAATAATAAAGTGTTATTAAAATTTAAGATGATTGCTAGAAATGTCTAAGTGTCTTGAGGAATAATTCAGTATAGCCTCTATTATATACCGTGCCTTTCTAGTCTCTATACCATGTACCTCGATATACCGGGGCTTCTTAGTTCGTAGTTCTTTCTCCCAAAATTTTAAGTTAATTAGCTAGTGTGGTGCAAGAATTGTGATTTATCAAAGCTCATATCGCGTTTGGTGGCGATTTATCGTATTTTGATGTATTCCATCACATTACGACAAAATACTTGCAGATACGCTTGACAGGATATTTGAGAAGCTACAGATACTGGGGATTGGGAACATATGAAGTATGAAACCCTCTAATTTGGGGATTACCATGCAGTTTTTGTTCCCACCGAGAGGTTCGGTATAAAATTAAAGAGGTTGTATTGTAAAATGATATAAATGTAAATAGTAACCCACTGTCGAGGAGATCTCGTATTCTCTCCATGTAAATCTCATAATAAGACACCTTGATATGGAACTCAACATTCTCTTCCATGCTGAAAACACGCGGTGTGTTAGAATTGAATAAACTCTCGTTTCCAGATAACCTATCTATGAGAAACTAAGCTGCCCTACTCGAATTTATTTACTGGACTGGAGTATGAACAAGGCAGCAGCGATGGTAAGTAATCCTAAGTAAGTCTCAGCGAAAGTTTTAAAAGCAGTGAAAGTGAAAGTGAAACTAACCTGTAAATATAGTTGAAGATATCTTCCACTATACGTGGTATAATACCTTGCCAGTCTGGATCTCCCAACATACCCTGAGTGAGTTTCTTGTTACCATGGTAACTACAACAGTGGTAATTAGTGTTTTCTAAATTAAGTTGTATTGGAGTCAGTGGCCCAAAAAGAAAAAGATCGAAGTTGGCTGTTGAATGAGACTGTATTTATCCGTAATCCGTATCTTACCTCCATAGTGTGTGTTTTCCCACTAGCAGTCTGGCCGTACGCGAATATAGTCCCGTTGTAGCCGTTTAGGATATCTGTAAATTATGTTGTTAAATTATGTGGATAAACGCATGAACTACCTAGGATGTTAGTCAAAATAAAAACCTTCTTTGCAAAAATCATTTTTGTTGTTGCTATATTCGTTGAATACTTCAATCAGAATAATGATAACTGTATGGACAACTATCTATATTAATGATCTCAAGATGTGTGTTTGTGTGTTCGTTTGCGTGTGATTTCCGAACGGCTTAATTAAGAAAACGGTAAGAGTTACGGGGCTGGTTTCTTCGGTATAGTCCCGCTAAAACTCTGACCAAGCCAAATGATTAAGGTTTTTTAAATCGGCCGGTGGTAAGTGGTTTAATCGATGGTTTTGTACCCCAAATGTGATACTAAAGTGTCTCACATTTTCTCCCTCTCTCTCACTCTCTCTCCCCATTTACAGCTCCCCTAATTACAGCTTTGTACATAATTAGGTAATTTGGCAGTGGAGCCTATTAAGTATTACTATTGGATACGTATTACGTGTTGGGCGCTCAGAATTAATTTACTCTAATGCAGCCGGTTTCGACTGAGATAGTTCATATTTTTGCACCGTTTTAATTTCTGCACAGTTTATACTTATGCAATTCAACTGCGATAGTGAAGTCCCGGCCGTAGGCACGGGTTACACTATAAATACTAATAATCTCAAGATGTGTGTTCGTTCGCGTGCAATTTCCGAACGGCTTAATCAAGAAAACGGTAAGAGTAACGGGGCTGGTTTTTTCGGTATAGTGCCGAAAAAAACTCTGACTAAGCTAAATCGGCCGGTGGTAAGTGGTTTAATTGAACATTTTGTGGCCCAAATGTGATACTAAAGTGTCTCACTTACTCTCCCTCTCTCGCTCTCTCTCTCTCCTCATAACAGATTTGCTATATAATTAGGTAATTTGGCAGTGTTCCTCGAGAATGCATTTCAGGTATTACTATAAGATACTATAATACGTGAGGGGCACTCAGAATTAAATTGCGGTGTGTTTCATGGACAGAGCGAGTTCATACTTTCGCACCGTTTTAACTACGAAAATGTAATGCGTATTTTCGAATATGATAGACGGGTTTATACTTTTGCATTTCAACTGCGATAGTGAAGTCCCGGATGTAGGCACGGGTTAAACTAGTAACTGTATAAAGAGAATATTTCTCGACGAGAGAAAATATTTAGCACCTTCTGAATAGAACTAGTGTGTAGCATCGGACTCACCTAAAATTCTAAATATGTATGACCACAAAACTAATGAAAATATCTTATTTTAAAATAATTTATTGATTAGCCCTCCTAGATTGCAGCTGTTGCTGGATTCATTTTATTTCGGTACGGTAACGTATATTATCGCAAATGCGCGCACAAATCGAAATTCTCATATATCGCGCGTCTTTGCGCGCCGCAAAGACGATTGTAACATTTACGAAACCCCGCGGCCTACAAATAAGTATTCAAAAAACCAAACAACAGAAGGACTTTCGACAAAACTGTACCAAATAGAATGGTCGAAAATCAAGTGTTTCAGTAAATAACATAGAATATATTTTCGATTTTTTTTCCGAGTTTATCCAGATCCTAATATATTATTTATTTGAAACTTTCCAGATAGTAGAAGAACTATAATAGGAACAATCTGTGCAAGTTTGGGTGGATTTCTATGTGCCAAATTGGAGATATCACTTCAAACACAAGAAAATATCTCCAAATTGGTGGTTTTGAGTGGTACCAAGGCATTTATCTCGAGATCGTGTTGATCAATTTTCTTAAACTTTCCAGATAGTAAGATAACTATAATAGGAACAATTTGTGCGAGTTTGGGCGATCGCGCATGCCTCGGTACCAAATATTGTACCCATTTCGAGATATTTTCTTGTGTTTGAAGTGATATCTCAAGTTTGGCAAATATAGAAATTCGCCCAAACTCGCAGAGATTGTTCCTATTATAGTTAACTTACTATTTCGAAAGTTTAAAGACATTTTACCTACACGATCTCGAGATAAATGCCTTGGTACCAAATATTTCACCTTGGTACAGTTTGGTACAGTAAGTCCAACTCCCAAACAAAAGCAACTGAGGCAAACTTTCAGAACAGATGTTTCGCAAAAAGTGTAGTAAAAATTTATCAAAATACAAGAAATGGCTAAGTCTAGTGACTTCTTTGGAAATTGCTGTCACGAACGCACTATCTTTACGTTTCAACCATACCTCTATAAGTACAGCACAATAACTCAATTTTGAAAATTTAACACGATTATCCAACTATCAACTAAGTAGCCAGATGTCTGAGGATAATTTGTTCCCCTTGGCCTAAAGAAAATGACTCATAATTATAAAAGTTGCAGCCTGTGTGCTCAGTCACAATGTTGACACTATACAAGTCACTTGTCCTTAGTCATTTAGAGTACCGCTACTCTCTGTGGAATACCAGTAAAATATCAGACATCCAACAGGTTGCAGTTAAGGGGTGCAGCGTACTTTTAAACGTTTCACCTCAAGGATTTGGGATGTTCAACATTTTGACTATTGGCAGCGGCTCGAAGCACTACATTTTATGTAGATGTAGAGGAGGAGGGAGCGTTATGTTATCATCTATATATATGGAAAATATATATATGGAAAATCTTCTACCAACGCTGCCCAAATGACCTGGGGATCCATTTTTCTACTCTAACAAAACACAGAATCAAGGTCAACATTTCAAGTTTCAGCAAGACCAGCACTCAACGTCAACAGTCATTATATGATGGTTCATTTGCAGTAATGGGGCCACGTTTATGGAACACCATTCCATCAGATCTTCACCTCATTGAATATCCACTGCTGTTCAAAGCAAAGCTATCAGCATTTCTTAAACCGTTTCCTGATAACCCATCTGTGAGGAACTACGTTTATCCAAATGGAAATTCGTAGCTGGACTGAAGTAGGAACAAGGCAGCAGAGATGCTCAAGGGCGGTCGAACTATTTGATGGTTGAACTATTTGATGACCCAGTAGAGGAATCTACGAATTCTCCTAGAAGTATCCTAATTAAGTAAATGTAACTCAATTTAGTAGCGAATATTTCGCATATTTTACCCGCGACAATAGATTTAGACTAACCAGCAACAATAGGTTTAGCAGAGTAAGTGTAAACATCTTCTTGGGTGGCTTGCTCTTTGAATATTCTGTCAAACACGTACGTTTTACCCTGAAAATTAGAGATTAGCAAGGTTGTGTTATTTTGAAGAGATTAGAAACTCTAAAAAGAGTAGGGGGTAGATTTCAGTAATTTAGTTTGACGACTGTGTAATTTAGCTTACTTTGATCAGTCAGTAAATTAAGAAATAAACATAGTTTCGATAAAGACTAATTATTTATTTAGTTCACATAACTAAAATATAGAGGTTTGCACGTAAATATAGAAGTTTGCACGTACGTTTATATTGACGCACTCATCCCCGATGAATTTGAAGGTTGAGTTGGTGCTGATCGCCAATTCCTTATCATTGAACGGCCGAAAACGAGCCACAACCTTTATACTAACGGCGTCGGGCTCGATCGACATGGTGCCCTAATTAAGTAGTGTATTATTCAATTATGCAATTAATTAGTTAAATGATGAGTTAATTGATAAAAAGCTTGGCAGAAATTTTGTTTGGTTAATAGATATAACAAAACAGGTAGTTATATTAATTTTATTAAGTAAATAACGTACTTGATTTTTAAGTCAAACAAGATCAGTATAATTGAAGTAAAACACCGAATGAATTTAGCTTAATAAGGTTAAATATAATATCACTGTAGCAACTCAAATAAGATTAATAACAATGAAAATTCACAATAATTAGTCTACAATAATGATACTTAAAATAGTTCTTTTTCACGTCTATTCGACTATTTAACTACCCATCATATTTTATTGGTATGAAAATATACCCCCAAAACTGAAGCCTGCTATTTACTCCTCCTCCTCCTCCCCTTCCCTCTCCTCTTCCTCCTCCCCCTCTTCCTCCTTCCCACTCCTTCCCATCTACTTCTAGTTAAACCTCAGTAGCACTTTAGTAGCCTATCCCAGATCCGCCGGTTTAAACCCCAGAACTGCAGTAAATTAATTAGACAACACACCCTGAAACTTGGACTAAACAAAATAATTACACTTCAGCATTTCTAAAGATAAAATATATTGATGAATTAATTACCAATTCAAAGTTATTACCAGCGAAAATACTATGATATCAGATAAAAATTTTGCTAGCAAAATTATATTGGGAGCCCAACGAATAAGACTGATATTAATAAAGCTTATTCAATAAAGCTCCACTGAAAGATTTAAAACAGTCAAACCTTAAAGCCCTGGTAACACAAACAGTAGATGATTTATAACAATATTATTATATTATGTAATAATATTATGTATGTTATATGTACACAATCAATGATAATTAATCAACAGCCTCATATTAAGCAGCAGTAAAGTGAAACATGTGTTATTTATTAGAGCACATCAAAGCAGCTAGAGTGTCACAATTATAATATATATTGTAACAAAACCACATGTTACGCATGTTGTTACACATGAACATGTGTAACAACATTGTTACGCATGTTGTTACACATGTTGTTACACATGTTGTTACACATGTTGTTACACATGTTGTTACACATGTTGTTACACATGTTGTTACACAAGATATAACTACCATTTACAAAGTTTCCCCTTAAATACAGTTACCATGGCAGAGAAGATAACAGCTCCATTTTGCACATTTTGACTAAAACATAGTCACGTGATCTAGATAAACCCCAACTTATTACAGCAACGATCATTAAAAGTAGCCCAGATAATTGCTTAATCACTGACATTTTTCTCTTTTTAAAGTTTCATTATAATCGCCAGCTGGATACCACAGATCTCTTAATTACAAAATACTGTGAATAAGGAATTTAAGAATACAATGTTATCACAGCAATAATAAGAAATACACACAACATATTGTGTACAAAATATTGTGTACAAAAGGAACTGTGCTTACACAGTACACACTATATTGTACACCTGTCATTAAACCACGTGATGTAACGTAAAGTCACATGACATGACGTCACACCACGCGCACGTGACAAGATTTCAAACCAAATGACGCATACCACGTGACAAAGAGTGGCGTGGTGTTTCACAAAAGTCAAGCAGTGTGACCTTTTACCTTGATACTGTCAACTATTTTCTATATCGCATAAGTTTTTTAACAGCACGCTGTATTGAACAATGTTATACATTACATTTTAATAATAAATACTAATATCCTTAATGAAGAGCACAATTTTAACACTGGTTATAAGGAAGGTGATAACCAAGTGCAGCTTAACATGACGTCAAACCACGTGACATGACGTCACATCACAACGTGATATAACTTCAAACCACGTGACATGACGTCACACCACGTGACATGACGTCAAACCACATGACTTATCCCCCCTCAAATGATAATAGCACAGCTTCTCAGTTTCCCCTTAAAACATCAGATAACGAGAGGAGATCTGATAAGAGAGCTCTCTTCTTCTTATTTACACAACTTTCCTCTTGAATCTGTTGAACTCAAACACACAGTCGTCCACAATGAAACTGAAAGTAAATTTTAATATTATCTACACTACTCATTATTGGTGTTACAATAATGTAACATCATTACTGGTGTTACAATACATTGGTGTTACACTTATTATTAATGTTACACTTATTATTGGTGTTACACTTATGATTGATGTTACAATATAAATAGACCGGCTGTAACAAAATAAGATAATCTCACCTCCACCACAGCACAGTAATGGGAACAGTGGCTGCGTGCCAGGTAGCGTGAGCATCCATTACCAGGTAGTAAGGCGAGAAATCAAACAGCTGAGGATCGACAGTATTGTGATAAGATTATAATATATGGTATAGGTAACTAGGATCTGATATAAATGTGGCGGAGTGACTTGAATTCAGTTATCAGTAAAGGCTACCAAATTGTAAACGTTCAAGACTACCAACGTTCAAGCCACTTATCCATTGTATTAAAAGCATTATGAGTGACCTAAACCCTTTAGTTTAATGTATCTATTTATAGGTCTAGACACAAGATGTTCACACACGATTTATCCTTGTGTCTGACAATAGTTAACCTCTAGAAGAAGAGCCAGGGAGGAGAAGACGATGACCCAGACAGCTTTCTTAATGTGTGGTCTGTGATTCCAGTTCCAGAGTCCCCACCCAGTTAGCAGCAGATGATGGGTCACTCCTGTTAATTAGTTAATTACTTTATAATTATTGGTTAATTCAGTAGGGATAATATTGAAATAGGGTAGTTTCATCCTAAAAATAATTAAATTAGTCCAAATTTGGAATAATCTAAATGCTGAAAGTATTACATTGTATGTACTGTAACAATTTAATTATATACATTACTTGACAAAAAAAAGTAAAATGGAGCAACTTAATCCAATGTTGATCTGATGTAACTACCTATGAAGACATTGAATTTCATGTTGTATCCATAGTCAATTTTATATACATCACTTGACAAAAAAAGTAAAATGGAGCAACTTAATCCAATGTTGATCTGATGTAACTACCTATGAAGACATTGAATTTCATGTTGTATCCATAGTCAATTTTCTTGTAGAACCCAAGATTGTAGGCGTGATAGGCCCACAGTAGGAATATTGGTAACCCGTACTTGTAGTTCCTGTAAATACCATATCTTAAATTAAATATATCTTAAATTACATATATCTTAAATTACATATCACCCAATAAAGGTGTCAGAAGTCTAATTACTATTATATTATGGCAGTTATCATAATTTTCTAACAGTAGACTTTTACTCTATTTTGATTGTAATTTTGTTAGTTTGCTTAAAAAACAGTTAGCATGACATACAGATGGTTTTTGATCTTTCCGAACTGATCCCTGCCCGATATCCTCAGCAACATGCAGTAGAGAGACAACATGACCATGGTACTTGCACCCAGGTAATCCAGAATCTCTGTAGTCACAGTGTCCTTCGCGTGGAACAGAAACGACACAAACCACGTGATGAGACACACCTAGAATGGGGGAGATGTCAGTGCTGTGTAAAAAACTGCTCCATTTCTTGACTTTAATATTTGATTTTAGTTTTATAACTTAGAAACTTGTATTTGTGAGCTTTAGGTGTGTGGTTATGAAAATTACTCACAATTCCATATCCGAGCCAAGTATGGAAGAGGTTGTAGGTGACAGGAACCTTGGCGACTAGGTTGGAGATACCCAGGAAAACAGCAAAGCCATTACAGAAGGAGAAGAAAACTGAGGCTGGCTCTTGTAGGCCAATATACCTTCTGAACGCCCACTGAACGATTATTATTATTTGTGACATTCATTTCTTACGAATTAAACCTTTAAATTCATCTGTTACATATTACTAAGTTGCCTTGGTAATGATATAACCCAAGTTTGAGATATTCAATCTATAATCAAGAGAAGTGTCTTTCAAAATACCCGGCCATTGTATTGGAGGATGGGTTTTCCCAGGGCAATCCTCTTCTCCGTCATCTCCAATGCACACATGTATTGACTATCACTCAAACAGTCCCATCCAAAAATCTGGTGTAAAGTATATTTAATGATGTGAGATTGTCTTTTGGTCCGTAATATTAAGAGATTAATATCAATGTTAATAAAGTGTATTCCAATCAAATAACCAGATGAGGATCTTTTCTCAAGACAAACATAAATGTAAAGTATTTCACACTGCAGTACCTTTAGAGTTGTATCAAGGTTGGCGTACTCGCATGTCCTCATCCTCAGAGTTGTGCAGTCGCGGTATTCATGAGTCTGGTCTCCGTAGGAGGACAAGACTGGTAATAGCAGCATGGAGATCAAACATACCGTCCTGATACTCCTCATCCTACTGATGTTAAGATTAGGCCACTTTGTCAATTTTCTCTATAAAGGACAATATTTCTTCTGACAGTGTTACTGATATCTTTTTTTATACATAAGTTACCAGCCCCTACCTGATAATTCAGTTAATTTTTGTTCAAACTTAACTTTGCTGAGTATAGGTTTTACATTTTCTAAATTACATAGGCACTATATATAATTTCATAAGTCCCTTCAGTATGCAGCTGAAACATATTCTCATGATATTTGCCGTTTCCTGACAAATGTGCTTAATAGATAACCATCTGAAACTGTCAGAATTAATCGCTGCCTCCCAGAAACCCCCTTATAGATCCCCCTAAAATGCCAAAATTTGTCAAAAATGTGTCAGATTAAGTGCTTAAAACCAACAGCAGTCTCGAACCAGTCAGACGGTGGATTGAGTGAGGAGATCACTGATTAAATTTCGGGATCAAGTATCCACCAGATCTTAAAATAGTAATGAAATGCTTCGAACAGTATACAGATAATTTCAGCAATGGTAATTGTCTAGCTATAAGGATAGACACCCGCGAAAAATATATAAACCAATACAATAGATTTAATGCTATAAAAATGGTACATATTTTTAAAACTGAGGTAAAAAATAAAACCCTAAGTTCAATTCTAATGGGGGGGGGGGGGGGTGTCATGTCCGTCTATGTCCGCCTATGTCCTGTCCTTTTTGGATTCTATGAGACAACGGACGTGTTTTTTGGGACATTGGCGGACACAGACGGACATTGGCGGACTCGGACGGACATTGGCGGACTCGGACGGACATTGGCGGACTCGGACGGTCATTGGCGGACCCGGACGGACATTGGCGGACTTAGATAGACATTGGTGGACATTAGCGGACATTGATGGACATTAGCGGACAAACATTTTGAGGACTGAAGAGTACTGAAGAGTACTGAAGAGTACTGAGGAGGATGGCTGAGAAGGATGGCTGAGGAGGATGGCTGAGGAGGATGACTGAGGAGGATGACTGAGGAGGATGACTGAGGAGGATGACTGAGAGGGAGGAGAAGGATCAGGAAGACCCAGGAGGAGGAGGAGGAGGAGGACCCAGAAGGGGGACCTAGGAGGAGGAGGAGGAGAACTGAGGAGGATGACTCAGGAGGAGGAGGACTCAGGAGGAGGACTGAGGAGGACTGAGAAGGAGGAGGACTGAGGAGGATGGCTGAGGAGGATGGCTGAGGAGGATGACTGAGAGGGAGGAGGAGGAGGAAGAGGACTGAGGAGGAGGAGGAGGAGAAGGACTGAGGAGGAGAAGGAGGACCCAGGAGGAAGAGGACCAAGGAGGAGGAGAACCCTGGAGGAGGACCCAGGAAAAGGCCCCAGGAGGAGGAGGACTGGGGAGGAGGAGAACTGTTGAGGACTGATGAGGAGGACTGAGGACGAGGAGGAAAAGTAGGAGGAGGACTGATGAGGGGAGGAGGAAGAGGACTGGGGAGGATCAGGAAGACCCAGGAGGAGGAGGAGGACCCAGGAGGAGGAGGAGGACTGAGGAGGAGGACTGACGATGACTGAGAAGGAGGAGGACTGAGGAGGACTGAGGAGTACTGAGGAGGATGGCTGAGGAGGATGGCTGGGGAGGATGGCTGAGGAGGATGACTGAAGAGGATGACTGAGAGGGAGGAGGAGGAGGACTCAGGAGGAGGACTCAGAAGGAAGAGGAGGAGGACTCAGGAGGAGGACTTAGGAGAAATGAGAAGGACTGAGGAGAACTGAGGAGGAGGAGGAGGAGGACTGAATAGGAGGAGGAGAAGGAGGGGGACTGGGAGAGGACTTGGGAAGAGGAGGACTGATGAGAAGGATGAGGAGGAGGACCCAGGAGGAGGAGGACTGAGGACCGAGGAGGAAGAGGATCAGGAGGAGGATGAAGAGGAGGAGGAGGACCCAGGAGGAGGAGGACTGAGGAGGACTGAGGAGGATGGCTGAGGAGGATGACTGAGAGGGAAGAGGAGGAGGAGGAGGAGGACTGAGGAGGACTGAGAAGGAGGAGGAGGAGGACTGAATAGGAGGAGGAGGAGGGGGACTGGGGGAGGACTGAGGAGGAGGATGGAGGACTGAGGAGGAAGAGGAGGAGGATGAAGAGGAGGAGAAGGACCCAGGAGGATGACCCAGGAGGAGGACTCAGGAGGAGGAGGAGGACTGGGGAGGAGGAGGACTGTTGAGGACTGATGAGGAGGACTGAGGACGAGGAGGAGGAGTAGGAGGAGGACTGCGGAGGGGAGGAGGAAGAGGACTGAGGAAGATCAGGAAGACCCAGGGGGAGGAGGAGGAAGAGTAGGAGGAGGAAGCATCTAAATGTTATTTCCATTTTTGTCCGTTTTTGTCCATTTTTGTCCGTTTTTGTCCGCTCTATTTTTTGTCCGTTTTGAAAATATAGGGTACCGAACGGACAAAAAACATGATCCCCCCTATAACAGCAAAAATTGAACATTTTATTTAGCAATTTAGGTGTCCATTAATGTCCGCCTATGTCCGCCTATGTCCGTCTATGTCCGCCTATGTCCGCCTATGTCCGTCTATGTCCGCCTATGTCCGCCTATGTCCTGTCCTTTTTGGATTCTATGAGACAAGCGGACATAGACGGACGTGACACCCCCCCTCTAATATATAAATGGTCAACTATTCTTGTTTCACCTCAGTCTAAGGCAAAGATGCACAATCGTTAATTTAATCTAGGTAAACTATAGGTAAAAATATAATATTAATCATAAGCTAAAATGTACTAATCTTTGTATTCTAAATGGGGAAAAGAAGAAACATTGTCAGTCAGTCGAGAAAGTTGTCAGTCAGGCTATATGGCAGCTTTGTAGATGTTGTGACTATGCTAGTAGTGGTCCCAGGCTTGCGACTGGAATTGCGGTGTTAAATCGATTTAATGGTATACCAACGATCCACCTCCCACTTGTTGTTTGGTACTTAGCATTAATAGTGTTAGCTGTCATTTACAGCTGAACCTAAGGGTTAAATTTAAATTACTTAACCTTTTGGTGCTGTATAAAAATAACATTAATTAATTATTATTATCATTAACTATAAAAATAAAATTCACAAATTCACATCACAACAAAAAGCAGTTTAGACCCACACCCAACAAGCACTCCATGACCTTTTATGGTTCAGGAGTGTTGATCAGGTTAAGGTCCAAATCACTTATCGCCGTGGGTTGAAGAGGTCTGGTACCTCTGTAACCCCTGATAGAGATTATACAGGTTCTGGGTAGTCTGTGTCTGACAAATGACATCACATCACAATACCGTTGGCTAATCTTTTCAGCGAGATGTTTTAGGAACTGTGAAGCCTCAAACGGCATTCCTCCTGTAGTACTGGACACCAGTGGCGTGAAGGGAGCATTTTCTAGATCTTCAAATGATCATAACTCGGCTTAATCGTGAACAATCAACTTGACATTTTGGGAAATCACTTGAATGTGGCAAACCAAACCCTCTTTAATCAATGAAATTTTACGAAACTTTCAGAAATTCTAAAGTAAAAAAGTAAAGTAAAATTTATGACATCACATCATGACATCACATCATCACATTATGTGAAGAAATATATACTAAATATTTCCCACCAAAATTAATTATTTATCAAATCAATATTCTTAAAATTTATCAAATTAAAACATTATCCTATTTTAAAAGTTCATTCATTTTAAAAGTTCTAAGTTTGAACCATATCTATATTTTTTGAAATTATTGTCTTGATTTATGCCAAAGTTGTGATCCAAGGTTGATTGCTAAATGGTATCTTATAAGGCTGTTTAACTTTATTTGTTTCTAATCTATCTAGTGACTAATTCTTACAAGCAACTGACTCCTTTTGCCAACTGCCTTTGGTTTAAGTAATTGAGATAGCTCAATTGAGGTCAACATGCTAAATTATCCGAGCATGCTAAATCACTATACAGTCAATATTCGAAATTTTTCTAAAAAGGCCCCTGACAGTTGAAATCGGGCGCGATTAGATTTTGACTGTTCTGACAGAATGGTCGAAATCTAATCGCGCTCTTTAAAATCTACCTGATTCGATGTATTTTGGTTACGAGAAGCATTATTGCATTGGATGGGCGCTGCCCATATTACTGGGCGGCGCTCAGCCTGTCATTCCGCCGAATCTTTGATAACATAATAGCCTGTGGTCTCCAGGTAAATTAAGCAAAGCAACGATCTCGTCAAATCTCTTCGATGCGAAGCAAGAATGCTATAGTTTGCGCGGCGCGTTGAAACGGCGAAGTCCTCCAACACGGCGCTTGTTTTCCGCGCGTGCTTTTTTCGCGAAAATTTTTATTTTTTGGCCTATAACATATAAATTTCCAAGCGTGCTAAATCACTCTACAGTCGATCTTCGATATTGTTCTAATAAGAAAAGGGCCCCTGACAGTTGAAACCAACTTCAATCGATGTATTTTCGGACGCTGATTCTGAATCACCACCATGACATTTGTCATACGTTGTATGAAGGAAATAAAGGGGGGACATGCCAATGCCCAATATGTTGCTCAAAAACGTGACAAGTATTAAAAAAAACGTGACAAGTATAAAAAATACAGTGACTGCAGGCGGAAGGTCAAAAAAGATCGCCGCAATGCTCAATCTAAGTTCTATGGTGGAAAATTTGCAGAGTTGCACGGAAACAGTAAAAAGACGTGGGAATTAATTAACCAAATACGGGGTAAACGAAAACGACAAACCAAACCTCTATTTACTATCAATAATGAAAAAATTACTAATCGTAGGGTAATAGCTAATGAGTTTAATAAGTACTTTGTCTCCCTAGCTTCTAATCTTAACGAGGCATACAATGAAATCGGCGAACTATTAATTAATGGCATCCCCAGTATCTATGACTACCTACCAAAATCCAACACGACCAGTATTTACATGCATGATTGTACAATCGATGAAGTATGTAAAATAATATCAGAATTGAAAAATGGCAAATCGTCTGATATCCCAATACATGTTGTAAAAGCGTCATCCAGAATTATCGCCCC